GATTCATGAAGGTCTGTTCGGGAATATACGGGTATTAACCATCTATGTTTCTTCACAAAACGCTAAACCCGTTTTGTGAAGTATTTTCTCCACCCCCCCCACTCCACTATGCCAAACTTTGTGATAAGGCCGAGTACATAGTGAATATGTTACGTTCACTGACTGCAAATGGAGATTCTCTTAATTAATATTTTGATCAGTTATTAAATTGAACGCCAGTAAGAATTTATCTATTTATTTATTTTAACACATAGATATTGGTACAAGGAGGCACCAAATACATATGCGCCACACAAATCTCATTTGATATGTGTGAGGGTTGTGATACTGCCTGGGTGCCCAAACCGAAGCAGGTGGTTTTCTTAGGGGGCCACACCCGCAGCCTTCGACCTGAAGGTCTGATCCACAAGGCAGTGGAGCATCATAAGGAGATGCAGTCTCATGGTAGCCGGTGACCAACGATTGGTTCATACGCCATTTGTTCCTACAGGGTACTGGAGCCCATGGGCACCATTGGTTTGGAATCAGGGTTTTCCAACTCTTCTAGGTGGACTCTCCATGTCCACAAAGCCGGTTATAGTGTCGGACGTTCGCTTTTCGTCTTCTCAATTTCGTAAACAACACCCTTGTCACGAGAAGGCAGTGAGTAGGACTTCCCTGACAGAGGCTATATACGCGTGGCCATGTGAGAGCATTTCTAGAAGGAGAGCGAACTCTCCCCACTCTCGGCCGTACCAGGGCATTTGTGGGCAAATGATATAGGAAATATGACTCATACAAATTATCTTGTGTGAAGTTCATTATTAAGTTGTTTAGGTTGTTTAACTAAAGCTTTTTGGTTTATCTGACGTGACAATTAGATTATTAGTTAATTCTAAATAAAAAGTTATAATCATAAAAGAAAAGACTAAATCGATTGTTGAATGACCAATGTTTTCGAATTGTTAATTACGTTTCTAAGGTAATGCTAACTGATAATATTAAGTAGTATACAAAAATAACTGGATTTAAGAGAAAAGCTCAAAAAAGTTTAACCATTGGTCCCTGATCAGATGTTCTGCTACGTTTACTTTACTAAAAATGTGACATCTTTGACAGTTGTAACATTTAACTGTGTATTAAATGTTTTAATCGAAATGGGAAGCAAACACTTAAACAGGTGATTACGTAGAAAGTTGGCCAATATTTAAAATAGAATTAAATATTCAACATATTTATTGATACATGGTTATATACATCGAGGAGAAAAAAAATCCTAGACACAATGATCAGTGACTGAAATAAGGTCGATATTAAATTTGCAATTAAATCTGTTAGCTAGACTTGAGTGAAAAAGTTCCAACTATGACTCAATATATTGTGTTCCATTGTGACCCAGATATTTTTCCACTTTTAGTCTTCACTGAATATATCATTATTTACAGTAAGATTTATTGGTCACTTAAAGAAAAATCTAACAAGTGGAACTCTAAAATAACTGATAATAGACGAACTCAATGTAATTGCTGAGTTAATAATGTTTGGTTTATTCACACTATAAAACTTATCAAAAATCACTGTAGGCCTCATTTCATACAACTAAGTGTTTTTAATAAAATACACATGATATATTAGACTAAAATTCTATTGACACTGAGTTCATCAACACTTCTTAAATTTCAGTATTTTAAGCAAAATATGTGATAACTAATATAAAAGTTCTACTACCGTGTTTATTAAAATTCAGTTCATTTTGATGGAATATTATAAAGTATTTAATATGATGATGCGATTGTAGGTAGGTATTATATATTAGGTAATTTCGATCTGTAATTACCTTATTTTACAATCAAGTGAAGAATTTAGCTATGTACTGCAATATCTCTTCCTAATTAATTAAGTCGATAAAACCTGTTCATTATAATTGTATATTTCATAAGTTATTATTAGAATGGGGGTTTTCGGAGATTGTAATGCTTTTAATAGTTGAATTCATGAGTTGATGTAACTTAGACCACCGTTGTAAACTTGAAATCACTGGACGGCCGTTTCATCCTAGTACGAGATTTCTCAGCAGTGCGCATCCATGATCCTGAATTCGGGACTCGAACTCTGGACTTTCTGTTTTGCGCGTGAACGCTCAAACTCTAGACCACTGAGCCTGCATCCAATCGTGTTAATGTCTAAATTCAATCGATTAATGATCTTACGAAACCATTAATCCATTATCAGAGGTAGATACCTGTCTCTACCCGACACAGATTGGACTCCATTGGTCAGGGCTTCTCACTAGAACCCCAGGAAATCCATCTCGAAACTAGTCACTATTGAGTACATAATTATTATTGGTATGGGGATTCGTGGGGACTATTTCATAAGTCTCATGCAGATTATAACAACGTTTGATAACTATTATATATATCAACTGAAATGTTATTGATGCTACTCAGTATAAAGAGTGACATAACAATAGCAATATTACAATAATACTTTAGTAGTCCGAAACATAACTTACCATCATAGGTTCTGATCCTTAATGGTCAAGATCAATTTGTATGCTATTTCACACCAAAATAGTGTTGTACGTACACCAAGGATAAAAAACTCCGACTAATTCTAATCATTTCAAGATCAGTACCACGGTGCGAACTTTGCACAAAGCTGAGTACTAAATTCCATGCATAGTTCCAGAACAAGTGAGCTAGAGACACCACTAATATACACAATGAGGAAGTAACCATCTGGAGGCTGCAAACTAAACAAACAGATGAATTTGCGATATATGGGGGTTTTAGGTAAATATTAAAGACTACAGTTAAATGCGTCAAGATGATTAACACTTTAACAAATTGTGAATCACGTAGATGTGGCATCAAAAAGTAGTATTGATTAACTATCAAACTTCTAAATTATATTATAACCTGAGTTGGGCAAGCTGAGCATTCAGACTGAGATATACAGCTGTCTTAAGAATTCTTATTCGTATAATCTAAAAAACAGTGGAGCGTCAATTGCATATACATGGTACTCGGTAACAATAGATGATGTTTGTTCCCCGAATGTTGATGGGGATATACAACATAAGCGTGTATTCATGTTTATATGTTAAAGGATGAATTTCTGCATTTATCAATCTTATCTCGTTCAAGTATTGAGGAAATACTGGGTAATTAGGGTATCCTGCAGGTTTTATGATAGGAAAATGAATCGACACTTTTACCAATATTGAGTATATTACTTGATATGTAAGTGTTGTTGTAGATATCGTTTCTAGTTGGAAAGTACGCCACCAAAATAAATCAGACTGCTGAATACACTTGCTTACGGCTATATGACAGACGGTAATTTAAGATGATCTTAATGAAACGCCCCTTTTAGTGTTATATGACATTTTCTAATTTATTTAAGATTAGCATGATTGGTAGTCCTTCCGAATTCCTTAACATACGGGTTTTACTTAGGTATTAAATTAATGAAACGGAAATATTGATTATAATAATATAATTGAGCAGGCTGCGATCTTGTTCTAAAGTACGAATTTCGCTCGAATAATTTTTATTCACTTACAGATATATTTGTGATTGCCTTGTAGTCTTTCTTTATATGAACATTTACAGTGGAAAATTCTCAAAAATAATTATGCTCACATACACCATGAGTACTTTCAGTCATTAAAATAAATATTACCATGGGTTATGATTAGCACAAAAGTATCCAGTATGCTTATATATGTTAATTTCACAGATTCAAGTGACTTTATCAATATTAGTTGTTTTGGTTGAGATCATGAATCAATTGATGTTAGACCACCGTTGGAAACCTGGAAGCACTGGACGGCCGTTTCGTCCTAGTATGGGACTCCTCAGCAGTGCGCATCCACGATCCCGCACCCCGCGGGATTCGAACCCAGGACCTACTGGCTTCGCGCCTGAGCACTTAACCATTAGACCACTGAGCCGGCATCCAATGGTGTTAGTGTCTAACATTGAATCCATTAACACTGTGAAGTTTATTAATTTATCGTATCTTACTGTGGTATTGAACTAATTGGTAATTCCTTTGTATTTGAGTGCGCGCTTTTCACGAATCCCAAATATAATATGTTAAGTTCTACATCTTTATTTCTGCCTGCCTAAAATTGCACTAGTTCAGGAATTCTTAGTTAGAAAATCAGTTTGAATACTTGTAATTATCACGTTATTATACAAACTACTAATTACGATATTGGCGAGTATAAACATGGGACCAACCGGTGAAACATTGCTAGCAAATTCAGTGGAATTTTTATCGTATTCAAGCATATTAATTGAAAGACTGGAGCTACTATTTTCAAGCCTGTAGAACACATTTTGTAAGGTAGAACCTAAGAATGAGAAAACATCTGAAGTAATAAATAGGAGTAAATACACTAAAAGTTTTAGCCCTGACTTAGAATACATCGCGCATTTTATATTATTTAGACACTGCTGCAAATATTGAGCAACTGTGAGCTGAACTAATTTACTGCAAGGATTTATAGAAACTGTACGTTTCGTTGAATACACTAAACACAACAGACTCCCACTTACATTCCTTGATATGCGTCTACTTATGTTCGTTGTACTGGCGGACTACTTTCAAGTTCACAAAAATAAGTGCCTCTTCCCACAATGTATATGAACAACATCTACATAATCTATTCTGCTAGATTATTAGTTCATATTTAATGCTATAACACTTGACGGTTTCTATTTAGTCAGCTATATAGCTGTTATGTGATCATATATAGAGTGCATTTGTTCCTTAGCTACTATTACTGGAGGTAAGATTACAATTGCGACTACAGAATTAATTTGGCTCTCACACGAAAAGGAAACCTCATTTAGTAAAAAATGTCAGCAACAAACTGGTTGATCTTTGAAGTTTTAATATTCGTGGAAAACTTTATACTGACTATTTATTTTTTACTACACTGTCTAATAAGTCTACCTCATAGTCCTTTTCTCGAAAGATTAACATACGCCAAAAGTCTATGGAAGATATGACTTTTGTAGAAAGATAATTTATTTTTTTAAATATACATATTCAGTAAAAAATTAATAGCTGATGACATGAAGAAGCTTATGTGACGTACAGTTACAATGAGAGAGAAGGCGGGAATATTTTACAAATTTATTTATATCATATAAAATAAATAAGTTTTTTCCGAATCATTCTTGTTGAACAAATGGATTAGGTATAGATTCCATTCCATCTGCAGGACAAACAAGTTCCACGGATGGACCCCTGTAAAAGATGACAAAAATTAGAAGAGATTGTGATTATTAATTACAATAACTCTTTATGTAATTATATAGAAAGAAGGGCTTGGTCCATTCAAAAGTTTAGGCTTTAAAATAACTTCCAATGTTACATGAATTTTATTCGGTATAAAACCATTTCAATAAGAATAATAGAAGTTTAGAAAAACTGCTGCTTGGAAACTGATTCGAAAAAGACAATAAAATGACTAAAAATAAACACTTCAGTTGGTTAGCATAAAAATTATCCTTTTGAATCAATATGAAAATCAAAATCACTTTTCAGTCGGTATTATCTTTGTAAATTCACGAAAATTTTCGAACGCAATATATTTTCTTATATATATAATAAGTTAAATGCACCATGTATCAGATACCTTGATGACGTACGCCAGTACTCTTTAATTTTATTAATATACCTTGGAATCAGTACATGTAAAATAACTCTTTGCGTGTCGGCTTAGCCGAAAAAGTGATCAGTTTTAAGTGAGGAATTTTATGTATATGCATTCTATCACAGAGTAGTACTGCAGAGGAATAAGTTTTTCAAAAATTATATAACAGCAATGAGCTGAATTATTAAAGAATAAGTAGTTTCATGAACATCGAAATACAGATTAGAACTTCAGGACTCCTTACTTTTTGACCACAGTTTTGCTAATTACTAAACGAACACAAACACTGTAAACGATTATTACTCAACAAGAGATCATTTTCATATGATACAGGGCATTGTAGCATTAATTTCCTAATTATAAATCAAGTGAATTCAGGACAGCTTTAGAGAGATTGTTGTTAGCATAAGAAAGGCTATCTAGTTATTGTAGTGAATGTAACTAATTAGTTTTCAAGAGAACATTATTTGAAATTCGTGTGACAAGACATGAATATAACTTTCCTTTCGACTGCTTTATTTTTGAAAACTATTGATTCAAGTTAAATAATTAATATAGGACAGTAGGTTTGAAGATGGATTTGTGAACCTGAAAAAAAAGCAATCATTTGATGTTTTCTGAACTTTAATAAATTACCGTAGTTTTTTCAAGAGTTTTGATGTTACACAACGTAAGTCAGTATTTAGTACACTTAAATATTAAGAATTTATGATCAAACACTAAAGTTTAGCAACAACTAAACAGTAGCAGAAATTCTTATTTCCGAGAAAAAAAATTACGTAATCAAAGAATGGTCTTTAAATACTAAGAAAGAATAACAGATGACGGTTAATAGTTTGGAGCAATTTCTTATAGAACTAAACACTAAAACTAACCTACAAACCACAAGGGCAAGTTCTCTTGTATCTTCAGTCAAACGATGAGGATCATCTGGATCACGAAGAAATTCAGTAGTACAATCAATCACCATATTCTGTAAATTATCGCATCCTTTCAAGATACCAACAGCTTCCCGTCCACCTGAAAATTTGACACGGATTCTTTTATCTATATACTTGTTTAAATCAATTATAGACTCTTTTTTATGCTTTTCCGGTTGTTTATCTCCAGTAGGCATTCTCGCTAGAAATGGGTAGAAAAGATTAATTAGAACAATAACAACGTTTATCACTAACATATATGAATTATCAACGATTTTACGAAAGATGATCATTTTCAAGTTTTTGTTATTGTTAAAAGAAATGAATAGTTGGTGTTTTAAATATGCTTCCATTTTGAAGGCAGAATGGTTGCTGGAAAGCTGTTACTTGAAAAATGTCAGATTTGAGTCATTTTCTTTCAGTAGGAGCTACTTAACGTGAATATATATATATATATATATATATATATATATATATATATATATATATATATATATATATATATATATAAGCAAAAATGGATAAGGCAATATCAAAGCAATACACACAGTATGCACATATGCCAATAAGAGACTGATCAATTGCAGTCCTAATCATCAATGGGAAGATTCAAGTAAACAATACCAAGTGAATTTAAACTTCACCCGATTGCGCAAGCAAGTGGCTATCAGGATTCAGTAGCTAAGTGGATAACGTGATGGCATTTTAAGCGGACGGTACTGGGTTCAAGTCCCAGAGTGCAAATCAATCCTGAGATGCAGATACATCCAGCTGACGAGTCCAAAATAGGATGAAAAGTGCATCCCGTATTCCACTGCTAGCCACTATTCATCTTTGCTTATGAATTCACGATAATTCAAAAAGTCGTCAAATGCTTAAAAAATTTAGCATAAATTTAAAATAATAAATAATCAAAGTAGATTGGAGTGGTGATTCATTTTAAATAAAGATATAAATAATATAAAGTAGTACACATAAAAATATTTTTTAATCTTATTCTTGTTACTTATTCGTGGATCAGTAGCCAGTAACAATTAAAAATTTTATCTGAAAGTAAGCCAACATATAGACTATTTAAGATGGTTTCCTATTCAAAGAGCATTTCTTTAAAAAGAACAATAATATTCAGTGCATCTAAACAACTTCTATTTGTCTAGTATTATTTGAACGTGAAAATATATACAATTTTGAAAACTAAATATTGGCTGAGAATTAGAATAACTAAGGGAAAAATTAGCATTTATTCGGTTCATGTTGAAAATTCTTGAGAAAAGGAAAATATAAAATTTTAGTTAATATTTAACGAGTTATATTTTATTAATTAGATGGTTACTTAAGGTCGAATCAAATATCCTTAATATTGAGCTATCTTTTAATACATCAATTGATGATATAACTTTAATCGCTGAAAATTTATTACTAATTAACTGAGTGTTACACAGCTTAGTATTTTAAATATGCTAGTAAGGCATGTATTATGATATACGGATTGTAGTACCTTGTGGTATTTTACTTGTAATAAAGGTATTAGTGACTAATCATAAAACCTAAAGGATTAAAACGAAAATGGTAACAAAATTTTAAAGTTTTGTTATCTATAACTATATTAAACGTTATTTAAGTGTTAATATTTTCTATCATACACAAGAATTATCAGACATGGTTGGGATTTTGTGATCCTCCTACGAGTTGATGAGAGTGTACTTCATGTTTTTTGTATTCAATCAAAGACTGTGCTTGGGTTATTTGGAACATATTTTTCGGATAGTGATAAAAACTAGTCATCGTTCAAATCTGGATTATTCTTATATCATTTTCAGATTAAGAATTCGAAGATTGGTTGCGCATATAAATATTCGTAATCGATTGTACACATGAGATCGATTTATCATCACTATTGAAGATTATTTCCGGTGACTATAGAAGTGAGTCATATAACAAAGCACAAAAGTGTACAACTATATCAGTCAAATTCACAGTCCTACCAAATTTTATCACGAAGATAAGTGTCACGAGTCATTGATTGCAAATCATCGTAAATTCGAATTTGTGGATATTTTGTGGCTGTAACCTATTTAGTTAGCGGCAAAATGTAACTGTTAAATTACGTCAAGTTATATACTGAACAAACCATATCTCAAGGTTAGGTGATAAGTTAGATGAAAGCAATAAATGGATTACCAATATAGCGAAGGTCACCGCCGACGCGTTGATTTGTTAACTTATAAATAAACATGAATGTTGTAGGCAACGAGCCCAATATTTAACAAAACAAATTCCTACAGTTTCTTAGCCTATTTAGACTGATTACGAGTTTCTATGATAAGTGAATTGGACTGTAAAGCTGAAGTGACTAGGTTAAAATAGATGGAGGTTATGCATTTCGATGGGTAACTATCACAATCACTTAATTATTATTATTCAACGAACACTAACTGCACTACTTTTGAATCCAGGGAAAATCTCTCAAGCATACATTTACCATAATTACTTATTTACAATTTGATTGATTACCCATTTTCATATTCTATTTCGCTTGACAAACAAAAACCGATGGGAGAATATTCTAAATTGAAATGTGTGCTGGCTTTTAAGTGACTCAGATGATTAGTTTCCGAATATATAAGAACCATGTACTTTACCTTACAGTCAATAATCATAATAGTACAAACGTTTAAGATAAGCGATCGAATTACGGTTTTTATCTGGTTTGCACAGAACATAAAATTAACAATTGCTAAGTAGAAGAATAGATGATTGGTTTACAATTCTTATTTTATTATCTTGCCCTAAAAAAATAATACCTACTATTCTGAGGTGCTTGTTCTTCAAGATTATTCTGGATTTCTTGTACTCAGTCACCCTGTTAACTATCTCATATATAAGTACAGTGAACGACTTTTACTAGGGTACACGCTAATTTCATAACAATTCGTAGAATTATTTCATACATTAGTCGAATTTGAGGGGCTTGTTCAAATGTGAATAAAACTTACATTATCAAAAAAGACTAAATATGTTTCTTTTCCCTCAAGAAAAAACAGCTGTATACTTTTAGATGCTAAAACAGTCATAATCAATGTAGAGACTATCACAAATGTGTGTTGGCTTAAGTTGCCATACCAATTTAGCATGATGTGATTAAATTAACAGAAGTTGAAACATTGACTACCTATTTTAAAAATGAAAGTAACAGCATAATAATGAAGAAAACAATCAATGGTATGAATATCAGACATTCATACCTATGGAGGTACAAAAAAGAAGTGCATTTTGCTCAATATTATCTTTTTTATTAGAAGTAAATTAATACATAAATTAATTACGAATACTATACATAAATCGTAAGTCATATAATTAATTATAAATATAATGAAACCTATTATAACCATTATCACGTATGTAATAAAAAATTACAAACAGTGTTTAAATTAGGAAATATGGAAGGAGAGAGAAGGGAAAATATCTGGTAAAAAGAACATGACAAAAACAAACGAACATTGAAAAGATTAATGTAAAGCCGGATTAAAGAGAATGTTTACTGGAAGACTATGTGTAAGTAAATAAATACCATAGTAATGGAATTTTACAAACTAGACCAGACAATTGCTTTCTTAATACGTTCACATGAAACTAGAGAATTACCATTCGGATTCCAATGACAACAAACGACAATATTTCTGAAATAAAACAAACGAAATAAACATCTGGGTTTACAGTGAGTGACATGACGCAATAGTAGATTTACAGACTCGCGTGCGAAATGTAAATTTAAAATACAAAATTGAGAGAAAATTTAAAATATATTTAATACGTATTATGAATGTGAAGAAATTTAAGTATACATGAATAATCAACGAGGTCTCATTATTGAAACATATGAGCATTCCAGTTAAGTATGAAGCATAGCTAGTCTCAACATCACCCCAAATCCCAATGTATTGAGAGGCTTAAGATAACGCATCCGAAAAAGTGACATTAGACAAGTAGGGTTTACTTACTTTAAATCAGTAGTGCAGACGCTCCTTATAGTAACGAAAGACAGTTGATGGGTTGGGCTTCCAGAAAAATATCTGGTATACATACTGCTAAGAGGGTCCTATGCTACTCAGTTTTGTGAACAAGTGTTGGTGCTTCCTTGTAGAGATAACCACAAGTACATTTTAGTTCATATTTTCGCATAACCTTTGCTCTTTCAATACTGATTGTTAAAACCTTCAGTTTGCTAATCTCCTGTCTCAAGGTCATATTTTTTTACCATATATAAAAAGCTGTTCCATTTGATTTTTTCTTTGCTAAATACCAACTTTTTTCGCAGTGCTGTGTTCTTTTGAGTTTTAATGCTGGGGAGTTTGTAATATACTCATGGTATGCACGCTTTTCACGTAGAAATAAACTTAACGCAATAGCCATACTTGAGATGACAAACGTTTCAGTGTACTTTTTCTAACAGTTGCTATCATGTTGTATACACATATGCCGGTATTTCATATACATTAAATTTAGAGAAACAGTAAATTTGTAATATTAGATGACACAGTAGATATAACCAATAGCTTGACTATAAGATTAAAATCGTTTCATATCTTTCTACGTACTAATTCTTTCTTCCTGTACTATATCCTTATATGCAATCTTTCTTTTATACATTACCACCATTGACTTAACTACCTCTATGAATCCGGTGTTCATCTTGCTGTGGTAATGCGGTATGGCAGCTTGGACCGATGCATCTATGCGCCTGGTCCTACGTTGTAGCTGACTGACTGACTAAATTTATTAAAAGTGTGGCTTAAAGCCTGATATATACACATACATGTACTTGATAAATGAACTATAAAATTAAAAGCGTACGTCCTCATGAGAAGTAATTTTCAAAAAACACAAACTCAATATTCTTTGTATATGATTCCACAGCACCAATACGATTTGAATTGTCATTCCCATCAGTTTAGCTTTCATGGTTTTACAAGTATGATGATTACAAGTAAAGAAAGTACCTTAAACATTTCAAGTATATATTTCTAAAAAAACAGATGTCAAACAAAATTCACTCTGAGCACTTAGTCCTCGTATTTAGTTTTTAGTCACCACAAACAGTAATCGTTACAAACATCTATTATATTTTATAACATAATTTAAACATTTATTATTGTATTTTTATTCAAACTTCAAACTAGAAGAAGTTCAAAAAAACAAACCCTTAGTATCCTCACGAAAATACTCAAAGATGAGTCGTAAATTGTATTTATGGTAATATGAACTATTGATATATTGCTTTGTAAACAACATATTAAAACCTGACAGTTAAATAAGAATGAATTTGTTTAATATCGAGCTATCCAAGAACAAAATATGAATAAGTGATAATTCTGTACCTTGAGGGAAAAGAAAATGAAGGCTTCAATGAAGTCTATCGATTGTATCAGATAATAGAATAATACTTGTTTTCCTACCTACTTGATTTTTTATCCTTAACGTTATTAAAGAGGTTTGAGTGTGTAGTTTATATCAAATAAACAGGCTTCAAGCATCCCAAGGATGAAAAGGAACTGATGAAGAGGAAACAGAAAGAAATCGATAACCGTTACACAAAGAAGTCAGTTGAGCAGCGATTACACAACTTTTAAAGTACGTTTAATTTTAGATGACAATTTTCGAAATCAAAACATACGTGTGGTCACGGAGACAAATTTCTAAATTTCCTGAAACTGTGCTCCAAATATAAACTCCACCATCATGTCCACCAGCAGCTACATAATCTGAGTCAGGTGAGAAGCATGGTCGAACTATATCTAAACCTGTTTGAAAACCATCAGCTTTCAAGCATTGTGTAACTTGATTCATACGTAAATCCACAATTTCTAAAGTGTTGTTACGTGTACAAGATAAAACAGTTGTGAAATCTAAAAATGCAAAAAATAGTTAAATGTAAAGTTCTTTTTCATCAATTAAAAACAAGAGAATATTTTTAACTAATAGCAAAGCACTATTTTACTTTAGAGAATACACAAAAGTATTCAGTAAGGGTTTAAATCCCACTTTCAGAAGATAATTCACTTACTCATGTTCGCTTTTCATACATATTCAACGAAATGGATCAAAAAGATCCATTTAAACTATTAGTCTTTTAGTGATCTACTGGTCTCTTTCTATGATGTGCATCAGAAACTTAACAACAGTAGTACAGTAACATATTTCATGTATGCGTTTACATACGTACACATACAGTGTTACAAAGTTCAAAGGGTGAATTAATTGAAAATCTTGCATTTTCAGTTGTCAGAAAAGTAACAACATTAGTTTTTTTATCCTGTTTGTGACATAATTGTGAAGCTGAATTCGTCGAAGGTTGCTTGAGATCATGTTTTGGAATATTTTGATAAGCAGAAAGTGATCGGTTTGTATTCATGTCAAGGATTCATTGAACCTTATATTTAATGTAAATATGATGACAAGTACTTCCAACAACCATTTTTAAGTTGATACCTAAATGAACGTAGTTATCATAATATAGTTTGAGATTACGAGCAAACGTTTGCATAGAAGGGTTTATCATTATTCTCCACCTTCAATTCATCTATAATTAATATTCGTTAAATATAAATCTAGGCGTAGTATATAAAGAAATATTTAAATGAGACCTATTAATTTCATTCTTTAAAACACTAAAATTTTGAAATCAAATCAATCGAAAAATATTTTTTATCATTAAAAATACTAGTGTAAACGGTCGTCCAGTGCTTCCAGATTTTCCATGGTGGTCAAGCTTCAATTGACTCATGGATTCAATTAAATTAAATTACTGAAATCTCCACAAAACCCTCTCCTCATGATAATCATTATATGGTCATTAGTGACTGGCTTCACGAGGTGATTCCTGAAGTTCTAGTGAGAAGCCGTGAACAGCGGAGTTCAAACAGGTCTGTTGTCAGATAGTAACTCACTGAAGACAATGGTGGACGACGGAGCGATTTCGTGAATTGGTTGACGTTAGACATTAACACCGTTAGATGCCGTCCCAATGGTCTAGAAGTTAAGTGTTTGCGCGCTGGACCGATAGGTCCTGGATTCGAATCCCGCAGGCGGGATCGCGTATGTGCACTACTGGGGGAGTCGTATAAAGGGACGAAACGGCCATCAAGTGCTTTCACGTTCTCCATGGTGGTCTAGCTTCAATTGACTCGTGAATTCAACCATTAAAATAAGATTCAAGAAAAAAATATAAATTAGTGAGACAAAAATATTTATGAAAAATTTAGAATCTCAGAATCTCGGGAAACGACAAAGAATGGATGCACCTGCACCATAGCAAATGATTTTGAGCCACGATATTCAAAGTCGCTGATCATTGGTTACGATAATCACACGAAACCCAACCACGTATTCTACACCTGTTAACATCGCTCAGTCTAATAGTCAGTATCTTCATGGTTTGGACGTTCCAAGCTTCCTTTCAACCCACTCTTACACCAGCTATCCTTGTACGTCGAAGTAGTCGGTGGGTGATAAAGACCTAATAAGTGCCCTGACCATCTCAGTAAATAGACGGTCAGAACACATCCCTAACCCTAACCTACAAATATTCTCTACTTTTGATGACCATGTTTTACAGCCACAAAGTACCAATAGAGCAAACTATTGCGCAGTGTATTCGTCCTTTGGTGGGCAGGTGGACATCTCTCCGATGTAATTCACAAAAAGCCAATTGAGCTTTCGTAAGACGCTCATCCATCAGTACTGATTGGACTCAAAAAGAGAATTGAAATTACAGGTCAGTCATTAGTCAAGAGTTATCTATTCTAAATGTCGAAACATGAATTATGAGGAAAATCCAAAGTTCAAAAGACAGAAAGTGAGTACAGTCGTTTTCCTGCTTCGCAGTGACCAAGTATATACCGCATATATATAAGATCAACTATTTCACTCCCTACCACTAATTCAAGCATCTACCCATACCAGTCCTAAAACAACACTTGCATTTGGAGAGAGAGAGAGAGAGAAAAAGAAAGAGAATCGCTTCATAAACATGCTTGCATTACTGATTAGAGTGATCAGAAGACTGCATTTCGTCAGCGTCTTCACTAAACGCAACTATGTCATCTGCATATTCTAAGTCAACAAGCGAATCTCAAAGTGGAAGATTGATTTCTCAGAAATCAGGCAATCCAAGTATTGTCACTAAAAGGACGTCTACAACAAGGTTGGACAAAAATGGAAAAAGCAGATAGTCTTAACAAAAGCCACCCAATGTTATCAATTCCGATGACAGTTCACCGTAAGTTCTGGATAAACCAGTAGTGTCTAACTAGGGAGCCTGTACAAGGTTGATGTCATTCGTTTGCATGCCTTTCAATGTCAGACACTAACACAGAACATCACAACCAACGGAGTCGAACACCCTCTTCAAGTCAAGGAATACAACTATAGCTGGAAGCCGAAAACAATGTTTATGTTATAGGACCAGAAAAAGGGTGAAGATTTGGTCTATCTATCTACATTCAGGTCTGAAACTAGACTGCTCTTCATGAGACTTAGCTAAGTGTCGGAGTATTGCCGAAGCTAATATTTTAGACACTATATTACTTGCATCACAAGATAATAATTTTAAACAGACGCGTGGTTTTTAATAACTCTATAAAAACCTACATTAGCGGATAACATTCATAAAATAGACACTTAGCGGTGTAGGATTTTTAAAAGACAGGACTTTAAACCCTTTATTTTTTATTGGTTTACATTATGCTAGCCGTAGCGAGAATCATTGGTTAAATTAACAGCATGTCTGTTTTGGAAGTCCTGCTTTTTCAAAACAGCCTGAAGCCGCTAAATGCTTGTCAACTGGAAGCTATGGCCTGATGTGAGACTCTATAAAATCATGTCTGAGTCTAGAATTGTTATTTTAATCATTAGTATTGTGATGCAAATTAGACAAAACGAATCTACTCATTACTTCACAATTATAACTATATTACTTATGAGTAACGAACGTTTATCCCCTTACTTATACTTTACTGACTTAATCAATGGTAAACTTTTTAATAGTTTGATAAATATTTTGTCTATTCAACCGCACTGAAAGAGCATTTTTCGTGCCCATATGAGTTGAGATTTTACTGTTCTTATTAAATGCATTACCTTGAACATGGAGTTGATACAAACTAACCATTATTCATAAGATTTTTCGTCTAAATTCGAACGAATAGTTTCATTATTAATGTAAGACATTAAGGTCGAAAAATATATTTGTGAAATTTCAGAGATTGAATTTTAAGCAAGTCCAACGTTTCTCTTGGCAATTTGGTTCAAGCTTGTTCAAGGAAATATAATCAAACATCAAAATTTTGGACTATAAATAGGTACATGGTTCTCCGGTTAACTGTATATTAAACAGGTCATCCAATCAATTATATGACCCAACTCTATATATGTAAGTGAGACCACGAAAACTGAATGTGGAGATGAAGAAACACAAACTTTGCTTGAAGCACATTTCTAAATCCTCAGGTGATATTAAAAAAAGCTCATAAAAATCAGCGATAACATAACACTCAGTAGAGTTGGGCCATACAATTGACTTCAGTGGCATAAAGATCCTAAAAAGAAGTTTCAGTTCTTAAAAGAGAGACTAACAGCTAAAGCCATACACATGTGGGCAAATCCAAACAGTATTATTAAGATGGAATGTAATTAGTTGTTCCATGGCAACTAATGTTTAATAAGTAAACCTGAACTCTTTATTTCATTTAATCTACCACTCATTATCTGGACAACAACAATTACTTTCAACTGTTCTAATTAGTTGATTTATCTAGATATATGGTAAACAATTTACCTAAGTAGCATAACAGCACAAGCACTTATTCATTTGTTTTTATTTTGTTTTATTTATCTTCAATTTATGTATACATTCAACCTTGTTAACATGATTGAATGACCTGTTTAATATACAGTTAACCGGAGGACCATGTACCTATTTATAGTCCAAAATTTTGATGTTTGATTATATTTCCTTGAACAAGCTTGAACCAAATTGCCAAGAGAAACGTTGGACTTGCTTAAAATTCAATCTCTGAAATTTCACAAATATATTTTTCCTCCTTAATGTTTGAATGTTATTTGTTGGAGAATCATTTATTATTTATATACTTACAGACATATTCTGAGAAGCCAAGACTTTTTGACTTTATTTGACCTTGTGTGAATTGTTTCGGCAGACATAAAACGGTGTGTTTGGTATTTCAGATACTTTTGCTCAAGCTTCAGTGAATCCCTCTGAGTAGGCAATCTATCTATTTATTTATTTGCCCTAATACAACCGAGTGTGGGGAGAGTCAACTCTCCCTATCCGAATGCTGTCACATGGCCACACGTATACAGCCACTCCTAGGGAAGTCTCACTCACTGTTTTCTCGTGGAGGGGGTGTTGTTTACGAAATTCAGAGGACGAAAAGTGAGTGTCCGTCGCTTTTACCGGGTTGATGGACGCAGAGAGTCCACCTAGGGGAGTTGGAAACCCTGATTCCAGACAAATGGTGCACATGGGCCCCAGTATTCTGAGTGAACAGATGGCATATGAACTAATTATTGGTCAGTGACTACAATGGGACTGCATATACTGAAGCTGCCCCACGGCCTTGTGGGTCAGACCCTTAGATCGAAAGCTCCAGGTGTGGCCCCCTAGGAAAACCACCTGCGTCGGTCTGGACATCCGGTCAGCATCACATCCCACACACAAATCAAGTGACTTGTGTTGCCCCTTGGTACCGGTATTTATGTATTCAAATAAATAATATTTATTTGTCTACATATCGACTAAGAAAGAGCGATTCATGAAGGTCTGTTCGGGAATATACGGGTATTAACCATCTATGTTTCTTCACAAAACGCTAAACCCGTTTTGTGAAGTATTTTCTCCCCCCCCACTCCACTATGCCAAACTTTGTGATAAGGCCGAGTACATAATGAATATGTTACGTTCACTGACTGCAAATGGAGATTCTCTTAATTAATATTTTGATCAGTTATTAAATTGAACGCCAGTAAGAATTTATCTATTTATTTATTTTAACACATAGATATTGGTACAAGGAGGCACCAAATACATATGCGCCACACAAATCTCATTTGATATGTGTGAGGGTTGTGATACTGCCTGGGTGCCCAAACCGAAGCAGGTGGTTTTCTTAGGGGGCCACACCCGCAACCTTCGACCGGAAGGCCTGACCCACAAGGCAGTGGAGCATCATAAGGAGATGCAGTCTCATGGTAGCCGGTGACCAACGATTGGTTCATACGCCATTTGTTCCTACAGGGTACTGGAGCCCATGGGCACCATTGGTTTGGAATCAGGGTTTTCCAACTCCCCTAGGTGGACTCTCCATGTCCGCCAACTCAGTTAAAGCGACGGACATTCACTTTTCGTCCTCTCATTTTCGTAAACAACACCCTTGTCACGAGAAGGCAGTGAGTAGGACTTCCCTGACAGAGGCAATATACGCGTGGTCATATGAGAGCATTTCGGGAGGGAGAGCGGACTCTTCTCACTCTCGGCCGTACCAGGGCATTTGGGGGCACTAGTTAGAATTGGCGGTATTTATATTAATTTTAACAGTTGAATTCATGGGTCAATCTAGGCTAGACCACCATTCAAAACCTGGAAGCACTGGATGACCGTCTCGTTCTAGTATGAAACTCTACAGTAGTACATTAGTATTAGCTGAATTTACAAATCATCTAATTAAAAGCTGATCGATTGATGAAGAACTGTTATCCTCTAACGTACATAAAGTAAATCTATTAGTAACATTTCTACTGATCGATATAACATAGTGATATACTGTAATGTGAACGTTTTCTGCAAATTATGGTTGATTGACCCAGGCTTTGATTGATTATTACTCGTAAACCGGGGACATAAGGTTAATTTGTAGCTTCAGGAACGAGAAATCCAGGATGAAGATTAGTGTGGAAATCGACTCAGGGATAGATTATCTCTAATCCATAAAGTAATTTAAAATAGACGTTCGAAAATACGGTACTGAATTTTTGTACTTTATATAGCGTAAGCTCAAAAAAATATGCAGATTCGTGTAGAGTATGAATACATGATTAAAAATTACACCTAGTTTAAGCTTAGTTGAGACAACTGCGTTTATTAAAGTCTTGATCGATTGTAAACTACAAAACATTATTTAGAAAGTCATCATTGAAAAAGTCAAACACTCACCAGAGGAGATGTCCATACCAGTAATACGCCCGGAGAGCAAGATTTTGCCAGTATTTTCTCCAGATCGTTCATCCCAAATGCGTAAATGCTGATCAAAATGGCCAGTAACAAGCGCAGTCATGGAGGGACAAACAACTACATCTTGGAATGTGGAGGCAGCCATGATGGTACGCCTACAACAGCACTTGTCAACGTCCCAAATCTGAGATTATCCAAAGTAAAATCAATTGATTACAGAAGGAAATTCAATCATTATTACATAAAACGAAGTAGAAGCTGCACAACCTTTTAGATTAGGGTAATGAGTAGTTAAGCATGCTTTTAAGTGTCATATTATAAAAATCTATGTAGTATAGAATGTACATTTGAAAAAATACCATTTTAATAATCCTGTCTTGACAATGTATTCTTGGCAAATTTGGAAATACAGCTGATGTCATTTTAGTGAGTTCAAAAAAGAAACTTGTTTTAACCTAGTTCAGAAACTGGGAATGTCTCGTACGATTTTTATTAAACGATTTTGCTCAAACGCTTCAACCTACGGTCACTGTTATGTGGATCGATCATCATATAGTTCTACACATACAGGATGATGCCTAACAAACAGAGAATTTATGTCATTAATGCATCTTAACCTGTTTAGGTTCATAAAACAAAATCATCCATAAGATAAGAATTCTAGCAAGTATTCAGCGCCTAATATTAAAATTATTTTTGAAAAGAGTGATTGCAGTGATAACACTAAACACTCTAAATCACCTTGATCGTTCTATCTGATGAAGCAGTGACAACGCGGTTAGCAGACCTCATAAATTTAGCAGAGATAACACGCTCAGAATGTCCTGTCAAATTGACTCGAAGTCTGGAATCATTTAGTGTCCATACACGACACGAAAAATCACTTGAGGCACCTAAAACAGCAGTTTCCTAAAATAAATCAGGAAAAAGTGTAAGTGACAAAACACAAAGTGGGTTAGTACGATGAAAGAAACAAAACAAAAATATTTAACATTCTTCAGCTGCGAACTTATACTAGGTAACGAAAAATGTCGCGCAAAATTAATAACACTTAAAAGGCATAACTAGACTAAGGAAAAGAAGTGCTTCAACATGAATAGATATAAATTAGGATCATTAACAATCTGCGATAGTTTGATAAGAAGAGTAAAGTTTTACTTAAATAGAGTGGGATAAATGAAGAATCGTGGAACCACGAGTTCAGAACAATAACGCTCAAAAGATTCATGAAGAAAAGAATTTACACCAGCGAAATCAATTTTAAGATATTTCGAATGGTAAGTCATACTGTTGTGCAAAGTCAAATCATTTACTATCATGCCCCCTATGGTCTACACTAACAATCGACGGTCATTGTAGGGCTTTGTGGATATTTTTAAATTTGAAGTTACAGGTAACGGGTTGGTTACTGGGTCACATGATTTAAAGATCAGGCCCTCGTCGAGAATGTTGTAAGTCCTGGCTTTGAGTCTCGGTAGAGTTTCGGATGTAAATCGGTGAAGAGTCCTGGACAAGGACGAAACACCTGTCTAATGCTTTCTGTTTTATATTAACTGTCTGACCAAAGTCAGTCTGTGATCCAAAACTTCAAAGTCGCTGGTAATTGCAAGAACACTGATTTCTTTCTAAGGACTGCTCTAATGAAAAACATATCTCGATGTAGCCAGTAGCTCCGGATGGACGATAACAATATTGACATGCGCAAACTACAATAGCCAGAACTTAAAAGATAAAAACCGATCAACAAAAAGACAGGCAGCAAACGGTAAGACGGATGTAAACTTATTGAATAGTGTGAAACATTTTACAGCCATTTTTTCTGCAAATTGAGTACTTGTTACTGAGCAAGAAAGAAAACTCTGATGAACAGATCTATACCACTTGGCGATCTATCAAATGTAGAATAAACAAAACTAACTGACGTTGAGCGAGAACAGACGTTTTAATCTGTCAAATGGAGAATGTTTTAATGGTGTTCGAGTTCAAACGTAATATCAAATACATCATTGTGTGTAAATTTAGAGATTAGGTTTTCTTTAACATTGCTTAAATACGGTGAATATACCGCACGGAGATTCAGCGGGTGTTGTGACGATCGGTACTTTGTAACGTGAATATTCAGTTACTACTTACCCCATGATTTACTTTACCGATGTCATATTTTGTCTCGTTTCTTGACTTTATTCCGCATAGTTAGCTGCTATTTTTGTTTTTCTTCCATAATCCTTTTTATGAGGTATAAATTAAAATATTTTATTTATTTGAACACTTAAACATTGGTACAAAGGAGTACCAGAATACATATACGTCATACAAGTCACTTGATTTGTGTGTGGGCTGTGATACTGCCCGGGTGCCCAGACCGAAGCACGACATACTAAAACAGCATGAAATGACAAAAATTATTAGGCTTTGAGGTGTTCTCTTGTTCATTTGTCAGACCCATGTAAGCAGAATAAACTGAGACTTAAGCGAATTGGAAAATCAGGTGAGTAGATCCATTAATAATAAAACACTGAACGTATTTGACAACGCGATGGTGGTTGGTCTACAATGATTATATGGCACATAATAATCTTAAGTATCTACACGGCCCACAGATTTCTATGCATAAAACATGACCGCGACTACTTTTGAATGCCCGATTTAATGGAACTAGGAATAAATTCCTCTGGAAATGCGTTTGATGTATACATAAAACTTACTCAAAAAAACATCCCAGTTACATTGGGAAACTCACATTTGGGTCAAAATCTATGGCAGTGACAGCAGCATTACAACCAACAAGGGTTGAATGGATTTCACATTTTCCTAGTTTCAAAAAATAAGCAATTGCAAAAGTATGAAAACATTTGCACAATAAAATATTCTACTATAAAATATACGATTGATACGACTTTACAAATTTTATACCACATATGATACGAAATTCACTCAAGAACAAAGTAAATGCAGAGTATACAACAACGCCTCTAATTCAAGGTTTCGTTTTGACATTGTAAAAATTCTACGCTGGACAATTAAAAAATGTATACCATTTAGATATGTCCATAATCGGAGTTTACGATCAAATCCTGCTGATCCGAAAATGTGGCCTGATGGAGTGAACCGAACACTATTTACTTCATTTTCATTAGCATCCTAGAAGCGACAATCACAAGAATGTTCACAGAGAACTTACTATTTTGACTGCAACGTTACGCGGAAGTGCAGATTTACAGGGTAGTGGTTTGTCCGAACAATCACTGTAAAGTTACAAGAAACAACGGAATTAAACCTATCAGTAACGAATATAGTCGAATTGACTGCATCTTGAAGATTCTTGCGGATTGTTTCTTGAGTTTTTCTACGAAATGTTTAATATTTAAGACTTACCTATACTGCACATCATACTCTATATTTTTCAACCTTTCGACAGTGGACTGGAGGGCTTTTATTCGTTTCATAAGTTGCAGATTATCATCCTCAAGTTGCCTGTTTTTTGTTTCTAGTGCCTTCGCGGTCATTAAGTGTGAGGCCTGTTCATCTGTAAGCAACTGAGAACACATGTTGCATAACACCAACACAACACACTTCTTTAGTTTCCTCTAGTCCCTTAACCTTTTCCATTAAGTGATGATTCTGCAGTTGGTTAGCCTTAAGGCAGTCCTCTAACTCCGAAATCCTAAACAGCTCGCTTATATAACTGTGAAACCAACTTCAAGGACTTTGATTGGAGCAAGGTGTCTTTCTCCTGAAGAACTCTGTTTAAATCAATAACATTTTGCGCGAGCTAGCATTTTCGCAAACAGACATCTGAACTTACGTTCCCTTTCTGTCGATGCAATTCGGTAACCTCTTCTTGCAAATGAAACACCTTCTGCTCATAGTCATAGGATTTGACAGACTTTCTAAAGGAAATCTCAATATCAAGAAAAGAAGGATACATCTTTTCAAGTTCTAGCTGTATTGACGATTTCTCTTGTTGGCATAATGTTAATTCACGTACAAGACGAGTGTTTTCCCCCTTGAGGTATAACACAATGTCCTTATTTGAGTCGTCTGAAATTGTAAATAAATGCGGATTTAAACAAACATTGTGTAAAAATTTCAGTAAAAAATGACTTCTCAATAATATCACGTTCAAGCAGGGATGTAAGTATAGCATCTTTCCATGAATGACCCTCCCTGTCCATTAAAACTGCCGCAAGGCCACACGTTTGTATTGGGCGCTCTGAAATATCCAATAACTGAGGTTTCGCAATATAAACCAAAGGAATTTCTCCAGATCTTATCTTGACGTGACAGGATGTATTCATATCTTGTTGTGTGTACAACAAGAGTAGTTCAGTTACTTGTCTTCAATATTTTTAGTGAATTCGGTGGATGTTAAGATATTGATATATTTTGACTTTAAGCTAATGCGTATTTCTTGAGTAAGTAAAGCCGTAAAGGGCAAGGATCACAACCAGATGGAAAAATATTTCAAATAAGATAGACCAGCAGTGGGAAATACGTGATTGTGCCTGTTTTTTCTCCCTCTCACTGACGATTATTCGATTATCTGCTTGTGAATCTCAAGTTTTTTTCAAATACAACTTTTTTGATCTTATAACTTGAATATTTTTCCGTTATTATGCTATCAGGTCATCTTTTTCTTCTACTGGCAGTTCTTTGTCCAGACATTGCCACATCAGACATTAGCTGGATCGAGTGTACTTGTTTAAAACTGGTATGTGCTTCATACGAACCTCCAAAATTTCGTTTAGGCAGTGAGGTGTATTGGACAGTATGGTCGATACTTGTCAATACTAGCAGATTTACTCAAACTTGGATTTTTCAAACCCTCCAGTTTGTATCATTTAGATTCTGCTTAACTGAGTTTTGGAATTATTTTGAGAAGAGCTAATGCTCCTAGCTACTTTTGATCGAGATTAACGAATTTTGGAATGACAGCTAGTCTATAGTGAGTAAGCCAAATAATCAGAGAAAAATTGTTCGATAGATTCAAATATATTATTAGAGACATTCAAATACAATATATAAAGGTAAGAAATGCGGCTGTTACTGTGGTTTTTCGGAGGTCGAATCTCATTATAATCACGTACTGATCTGAATTGGAACACCACTGTGAACCAAGGAGCACTGTACAGCCTCTTCTTCCTAGCATGGTACTCCTCAACAGTGCGCGTCTACCACACTACGATTAAGAATCGAAAACAAGACTTGTTCAGTGCACAAACGCTTAAACTCTAAACCAGTAAGCTGAGATTCAACTGTGTGCAGTCTAACCTCAATCTATAGTGAACTACTATCTTCATTGTCTTCGGCAGGTACATTATCCACAACTGACACAGTTTGGCTTCATAGGCCACGGCTTCTCATTAGAAATCTGATAGTCTTTTTGAAGCTAAGCACTGAGGAGTGCATGATAAATGTCAGTATGAGGTTGTGGAGATTGTTAAATTTTGTTGAAATCGCAAAGTCATCGTCAATGTGTCTTATTGAGAACCTACATATCAGGACGACACAGCCATCTAGTGCTACCAGGTTTCCGATGATTGTCTAATTTAGGTCGATCAGAGAATTTAATAAAAAAATACCGTTCTCAGAGAAGTAAAGTCTACATATTTCACTTCATTGAATAATCGAATGTGTTTGTATCACACCTAATTTTTCACTTGCTTTTTAAGATCAAGTCTGGTGAACCTTTATGAAGCATAAGCGGTTTAGCTGACAGCTTTAATGAAGTCCGTGGAATAATTTTAACTTTTATAGCTGTATCTGCACGATATGTGCTTTGGTTTTTCAATGATGGGCTGAGCAGCTCGACATTTCGTTTACTAGTTTTCACAAGTCTAGGTTTATTAGCCGAAATTTGCAGAATGCTAATTCTGGAAATACAGGTGGCCCTTTGGTCGTAATGTGATGTGTAACATAGCTGATTACACATGGTAATTTCTGTCGCATTAGATATAGATCGAGAGACATGACGAGTATTTGCTGATAGTATTGATAGATCATGTGCGTTAATGTGAATGGGTGGTAATCTAAAACCGGAAAAAGTCACACAGAATGATAATTGAGCACTAACGCCTAATTAACCTCCATTTGCTCATGTTGTCGAATAGATTACGGTATTGTTGCAGGTCTATACCAATAATTGAATAGAAACATCTGCAACAACGAAAATCCAATGATTGGGTTTGCGAAAAAGCAACAAACTTTCGTCATTTTACCAGTGATGTATAACAGGTTGCTATGTTCGCCGGCTGTAAATTGTTCCGTTAAGCTGACGCATCCGAGCGTTTGAAGGTCCAGCGCTTGTTGACGGTAGGATGTCTTCACTCAGTTTTTCTGATAAAACTGAAGGCTAAGAGCTTGATCGGTTTGGGGAGATATCCATGATTCAGATATTCTTATCACATGAGCATTATTAATATTAATGAGTTCACGAAGCTTATCCTTTTATCGATAAACTCGTGGCGTTCATATATTAGCAGTTTATGCTTTCAATTTGAATCGTATGATCTTACATATCCCATTTACCATGTATGAGCCCAATGTGAATGGGCAGGTAACCCACCTTCACAAGTTTTTCCGAGTTGGTAATCTTTGTCCTTTCTACGTTCTTTCATGGTCTTGACGGTCCACAAATGAAATAGTCAGCTCCAACTTGCTAACATCATGGGTTTTTTCCGAATACATATGGGTTCCAGTTGACAACCGGTGTCTGTTGACACGAAATACTTCGAGGGTTGCTGGCGCCATACGAAAAGATATGAAGGTCATCTTCATCAGCCTATGTCTAGAATCCCCGTTCCTATTGGCTAATCTTACCATTTGTTGATTTAATGTTTTACAGCCTCAAGGACAGCTTGATGAATTTTCACTCTCTAATATCAGAGACTATTTGTTTAGGGTCCGTGTTTCATGGCACATAATGCACAATTATATTTCTTCGGCGATAAACATCTTGCGCGATTCCTTAGGAATGTTCTGGATGAGATTGTGCTCAGAGTACGGCCTATAAGGCAATATACATACGTCCCCGTTTGATTACAGAAAATGTTTAGTCAGCAGATCATCCTCTTCGTCTTCAGTGTTAGTGAACACTACACGAAGGAATCTTGGGAGGTTTCAGCGCTTGTAGCCGTTCAACTGAGTGAGCCGTGTAACCGTTAGAGGCTCTATTTTGTGAAGTTTGAAATAACTACTTAAATCTCTACAAAGCATCTTGTCATTTTTGTCCTGCAGAGTGAGATGAAAGTCAGGGCTGTCTTTCAGGTTCATGCCTGTGACAGAATAACGGCGAAACGTGATCATTTTCCCAGGATTTCGGATACGTTCAGGTTGAGGACCATTTTATTTGGTAGTTAAAGTGCGCCTCACATTCTCGTGCTTCTTGCTGACTGTTGAATTATGTTAACGGTAAACTGTACAGTCAAATCACCAGTCGATTTCACTACACCTCCCAGGATGTTCTGCCTCTTGGACGGTGACACCCTATCCTTTTTAACTTTGTTGGCGGGTTTCAGTCGCCTACAGAGTTTTTAGGGACCACCATTGCATTTAGGGGTCCTGTACTGGGAGACGCAAGTTTATGAGGGGCCCAATGCCGTAGAAGTTATGACAGTACTGAGTCTCAGCATGTCCTTACTATTGTCGATGCACGTCCTTTTGATACTAAGATTGTTGAGGTCCATGTTCATTTCCTCACTGAGAGTATTTATTTGCCCGTTTAAGGCCTACCTTTCTTCATGTTTGCTGACAACTTTTCAGCAGACCTGTTGGGAGAATGATGTTGCTCAGCAAATCCTCAGTATTCATATTCCACGTGTCATACACTCACCTACGATCCGACTTACCAATTCTGTTGTAAGCAGTTACAGCGTGATCTGTACATGCTTCGTGGAAACAACATTTGCATTTGTCACACTGTTTGCCAGAAGTTACAGTAAAACAGCGTCCGGATCGCTTGCATGAATTATACATCATTATGGTGGAACGACTTCTTTGATAGATCTTAGCAAAAGTTTACGACCGTTAAACAAAAGGAACAATATACTCACAACGATACAATGGATATAAAAACGAGTGATACAAAAGGCTAGGATACACCAAAACTAACTTTGACGTGAAAGGCTGAAAAACCGGGTATTAAGCCGAGGCAGAATCACAGTCAACTATTTATTTGGGTAAAACTCAAAAGAAAAAGATTCTACCGAACGTTGAGCTCAAGATGGATTCATTGGATCAAAAGTAGTACTTTTGTTAAGTAAGAATACAGTGAATGTTTGAGAAACAAAATCATGTTAAGACGAAACTTTCCGTTCGTAATGCGATGAGCTATAAAAACTTGTTTGATTGGCGCTAGTTTGTAATAATGTTATTGGATATTGGACTTAACTTCGTTTGTGACATTAGAGTTGTCCTACACCCAATGCGGACTAGGTATTAGCTGTGAGGTATTTTGAAATGAAGGTCGTTGGTGTCTGGATGAGTGATTCTAAAGTAGACAGCATCGGGCTTAATACTCTTTTACGCGAGAAGAGGTAAATGGCTATTTAGTGTATGATCTGAGTTAGCGCAGAAGTGATCTTCTATTTAGAAAGGTTTTTTGCCGATTTTTTGTCTAAAAAGTGAAAACGTAGATCAATCCGTGTATTAGTGTATCAGAACAAGGACCCTTTGACGTAATCCTTCACAAAATACCGGAATTTTTGAGCGGGGATTCCAGCAAACAGAGTCGAAAAATTATAGAAAATTTTATCGTAAATAAACAGTTACTTGTTTTACTAATTTTTCATAGAACTATGCAAAAAGTAATCCTCATGTTCTGTTCATAGACTCACCGATGTCACTCACGTGTTTGTTAACACGTCTTAATCAGTTTTCTTTGCTCCGAGATATTGTAGCGATGTCGGATATAAGTAAGTATCGTAATTTTCACTTGTCTGAATTATTATGATTTGTGTGGAGCAAATGAGGAGTATAATAAAGTCTCATGAACTTGTTTATATATATTTGAGTCAAAGTCGGTGTTTACAATTCTCTTGTGCCAGTGGAAAATTGACCTTTAAATAGTACCTGGGTTTCTTTGCTGACCACCTATATCAAATACCTATCAAATTATAAAAAAATGTACTAGGAGATTTAAAAACATTCGTCCTAATGACCACTTATTTATGTATAAATCTCAGGTATATCCTGTTGCACACTTATTTAAGTTCTCACAAATCACCGTTATTGATCACGAATGCTTTCGTAAGAACTTACACCACACCATATTTGAGGATATTGGCTTTCTGTTGTACAAAACGTTTTTTTTAAGTTGTGTTGCAATACTTCTTGTAATATTTAATAAACAAACGGATTTATATCGATAATGCTGGGCACTGCTCTATCTAATTAATTTAGGCAATCGGGTAATATCATAGCCTCCCAATAGTGTCTGAAATCCTATTATAACAATCCATATATGGTGGCAACACCATGTCAGTAATGCAGAGGCTCGGCATCGTGTGTTCGGGCGCAGAGATGATAATGCAGTCGATGTTACCATCTAGAAACACCGACTTCGGTGGCTTGGACATGTTCTACGAATGTCGTCCCAGAGAATTCCACGTCGTGCATTATTTGCCGACTCTGGGACTGGTTGGAAGAAGCGGAGAGGTGGTCAGTGCATGACATGGTGTCGTGGCATGAAAGAAAGCTGCAAAGGACTGGCTTGTGTTGGTCCTTCACGACTCCATGGTTGGGGTCTGAGAGATGGTGCTACACAGTGGCTAGAGACGTTATTAGATATGGCTCAGAATAGAAGCCAGTGGCGATCCTGCTGTAACCTTTTACTATCTTCATAAAAAGTGGTTGTGTCTTCCTTAACTGAAAGATTTCTTCTGATTGTACCTTTGCGTTACCTGATTACTAGCACATTACCTTACACCAATCTCTTCGTTATTGTTCTATCTTTTTTTGTTGCGCTCTTTAGCTTTTTTTTCTTTCTTTGTATTCCTCTCGAATTTTCATTGTTTTGTGTGGCGCATATATATTGGCGCTCTTTTGTACCGATATTCATGTGTCCAAATAAATAAATAAATATATGGTGCAAAAATTCCAGTACATATCTGTCCTTTTACCCTGTTAAGCACTTTGTCTTCTGGGTTTCTATTTCCCATTACCTTATAGCAATACACCAATGAAACTTCCTAAAAATCTCAGATTGATCTGAGAAATATCTAATAAACTAAGATTTAGTGCTTCTCTGTATTTTAATTAATTTTGTCAAACTCAGCTGCAAATGTTCATACTTCTTGTTATAATGTTCCTCACTGATTACGGTCATTTTTCCCTTTATTTGATAAGTTTTACGAGTTCACAATGTAATGCACGTTCTCTGAAACCCAGTTATTTTTTTCATTAATTCAACAGGAAATGAAATATTTGTGCCCAAATTTTGCCTCTTACCACAAAAAGACCCTACGAAATTATGTGACGCTGGTATTTCTTACCCTATAGGTAAGTGAAATATTTCTTAGATGCATGATCATTATTGCCAGTCGTGGTGTTTGCTTTGTAGCTACTGAATTTTGTGATATTGTGTGGCTAAATTGTAAGACGTTGTGCAGTATAATAATTTTTCAAGAGTGCGTTGAATGTTTGGGGAAATTATTCACTTCTTTTTTAGAAATGGTCGTGTTAAAGTTTAATATCAGTTTAGTAATCGCTGTTCATGATACATAATAATCCAGTTGGGAGTTGACCATTCCCTCCTTTTTGTATGAAAGAATTGTCACGTAGTTTTCATTGTCACCGCTATTCAATTTCACCTTGAGCACTTAATACCACTTTCCAGATAGAATTTTAGCGTTTAGACACTGGTAGTATCCTTTCTGTATATTAGGAAAGTTCACTGAGAGGTAACTATTTCTTGGATACTTGGCCACAGTTTTCAGTAACACACTTCATTACTATTGTGATCTGACTAATAAAAGCAACTAATAATAAGACAACTTTCTGAGTGTTAATGCCTGCCCATCTTGATTCACTTGTTTCTAGATCATGTAGAAAGTGTCGCAGTCACAATAGTCAAGTTCCCATTTTAAGGAAGTTTTATTTTCCCCTCTTTATTTCACTGTTAAATTACAGCAACCCATATTTTGAGGTCCGGTCACAAGTCATGTTATTCTAATTATGAAAACCTCAAATGTTCTTTTTCGGCACTTATAAAATTTATCAAAACTTTCGTTTAATATTTTTGTCCTTTTTGAGTTTTCAGTTTGATCTTAGTAAAAAATGTTTCTAGAAAGAGGATTTGTACATAAAATTGCGTCCTCTATGTCACAGTCATCTACATTAAACCCATTTGGTCACGTAACATTCGGAAACGTAACCATTTTTATTTATCAAATCAAGAATCTTTACAAAACTTGTCTTATTCGGCCGTTTTTGCTTTCTTAACTGATAATCGTGACCGTAGCAACAACTTTTCACAAATAGTTCTTTTAAGCATAACTAGTTATGCAATGCTTTGACTAGTGTAGAGGATGTATATGTTATCAATAGTATATATGATTCCATTTCAAACGTGTTGCTTTACAGACATAGAAATTAATGTTGGATGTGCTTTCGAACTTTCAGTGGGTAAAATGATACCTCGAATATGTACCTTTTATTGTGATATTTAGTTACTAGCCAACACATTAAATTTTGAATGTCAATGTCTTTACTTACGTAGATTTATTATTTTTGTTTTGAGGATATCCTGGCAGTACCCTTGTCATATGATTTACTAATCGAAACTATGATGTACTTCAGGGAAGAGAGGAAAATCAACACAAGTACCTGTTTCTTAGAATGTGCTTTCGTTATTTGCTAAACAGCAACTTCCTGCTGTTTTGCATTTGAAATACCGATAAAATGTGAAATGTCTTTGTTGAATGCGGAAAAAGTGGAATCCTAATTAGTAAATTATTGGTTTGTGAATATTTAGTAAGTCTCTATTACCACTGTAAGGTCTTGTGATTTTCAAGATTTACGAATCGTTAGCATTCCTTAACTTGATGAAACTTAGTTCTGTCTGTACAGCCTGATTTGCAAAATTTCTCCGGAGTTAGAATTAGTTATCATCACAGGATTATGCCTTTCTTTATTCGTTTAAGTGTTGACTTGTTTTTCTTCCACAAGTTATAGGGTCTGAGTTCAGCATGATGGTGAAATATGGTAGAACGTTTTACAGTTCACGAAAAATTCAGTTTTGATTTCATAATTGATACTATGTTGTTTAAAAAAAGCATTTCTTTCCATAAATTTTGGAAGTGAAGTAAGAATACGGAGTTGGTTTTAGAGGTGTGCTAAGGACAGATGCTAAGCGGTCATGATTTTGGTAGCAAATCATTTAATATGTCACAGGATTGAACTTAACATATTTTTAAACTTATGTAAAAATCATCAGGGTTGAATGTTTAGATTTCTAGAAGACCCAACCTTTGAAGAATATGAGTCTCCTTTTTGTCATCTAAAACAACTAGTTCACACTTAGAGCCTATTCCAGTTATAATAATTCTTTATATATATATATATATATATATATATATATATATATATATATATATATATATTGTCAGGGGCGGTGTGACAGTTTGGTATTCTTTCTACACCGTACAATATTTTTATCTTTTTGTATTTGTTATATCCTGTAACCGAACAATACACGTAGACGACCATCAGCAACCAGTACGAGGGGGGCTGATTATTTATTTATTTATTTGAACACATAAATATTGGTACAAGAATGCGCCAAATATATATGCGCCACACAAAACAATGAGAATTTAAGGGGAAGGAAAAGAGAGAATACTAACGAAGAGATTGATGTAAGGTGGTGTAATAATAATAATAGTAAAAATGGGGAAACGGAAAGGTGCAATCAGAAGAAATCTTTCAGTTAAGGAAGACACAACCACTTTTTATGAAGAAAGTAAAAGGTTACAGCAGGATCGCCACTGGCTTCTATTCTGAGCCATATCTAATAACGTCTCTAGCCACTGTGTAGCACCATCTCTCAGACCCCAACCATGGAGTCGTGAAGGACCAACACAAGCCAGTCCTTTGCAGCTTTCTTTCATGCCACGACACCATGTCATGCACTGACCACCTCTCCGCTTCTTCCAACCAGTCCCAGAGTCGGCAAATAATGCACGACGTGGAATTCTCTGGGACGACATTCGTAGAACATGTCCAAGCCACCGAAGTCGGTGTTTCAAGATGGTGACACCAATTGCATTATCATCTCTGTGCCTGAACACACGATGCCGAATCTCTGCATTGCTAACATGGTGTTGCCACTGGATGTCAGCAATCCTTCGGAGACAGCGATGACCAAAAACATCCTCAACTCGGAGAGGCCAGGTTTCACAAGCATAGAGCAAAACTGCTCTCACCGATGCGTTGTAGATCCGACCTTTTACAGCCAGACTAACATCACGAAGGCACCAAAGATGGCCCAGATTGGCATAAGCCGCTCTGGCTTTCACTATAAGTAGATTGATCTCATCACTCACGCGACCACCAGCACTTATGCAGCTACCCAGATACACGAACTTCTCGACTACTTCTATCTGCTCACCATCCAGAGTGAGTACAGGATTAGAATCCTGCCAGTCTTGTAGAAGTACTTTGCACTTCGAAGGTGCATAGCACATACCATACCTACGGACACTGATTGCCAACTGATTAAGTGTGGATTGCATGCCTTGGGCATTATCGCACAGTAAGACAATATCATCCGCATACTCAAGGTCGAGAAGTCTGTCTCCAGACAACAGATCCACGCCGCCATTACTTACATTCATCAGAGCTGTTTCCAGAATGTCATCGATGGCAAAGTTGAAGAGGAATGGTGAGATTGGGCAACCCTGCCTAACCCCACTGCTCGAATAGAACAATGGAGAGAGGTGGTTGTATGCCCTTACTCTGCCTGTGTTTGTAATAGGGCTTTTAGGATGTTAATAAACTTCTCAGGCACATCCTTCTTCAATAGACAATCCCAGAAAACAGTCCTGTCCAACGAATCGAAGGCAGCCCTGATGTCGAGAAACACTACGATTGTTGGCCTTTGATAAGTATGGTGGTGTTCTAACATTTGGCGGAGGGTGAAGATATGATCAATACATCCTTGACCAGAACGAAACCCTGCCTGCTCCTCGCGAGTCAATCTTTCTCGGGTTTTGAACAACCTACGAAGTATGACGGAAGCCAATAGCTTGAACGCAATCGGAAGTAGACTTATCCCCCGATAGTTGTTACAGGAACGACGTGAACCCTTTTTAAAGATAGTGTTATAATCTCTTTCTTCTTACGGTTATGACCCAGCTATTCCTATTGCTTAGTATTCTCGGACAAGTCCCCAAATCAGAACACGGTTGAACAGGAAAGAGATTATATTCCAAATAGCAAGTCAGAAGCACAATAGAGAAAACGTCAGTATATTTATAGTTTTTACATGAGAAGATTCTAGAATATTCTCCAACTATCGACTAGTGCTGATTGGACAAGAATTAGCCAATCAGCGTGCACCAAAGCAATCATGCATTGAGCATGCTTTAATCTAGTCTATGTCCCGCTAACAGATAGGGACAACTATCGACTCATTCCATGATGTTGGTACACTCTCTAGTTCCCAAACCTTTGTAAACAACGTCGTCAATTCCTTAGTCAAAAAGTCACCACCATCTTTAAAAAGAGCCGGAGGTAAGTCATCTGGGCCAGGTGATTTGTAACGCTTCAAGAGTTGGAGTTCCTTGCGGACTTCCTCCTCATTTGGTGGATCAGTCGTCACCGGCCATGGAGGGCAGGACAGTCTGACCGATGTTGCCGGAGCAGCAGGCCAGTTGAACTGCCCTTCGAAAAATTCTGCCCATCGTCCAAGACGTCGATGGATGTTAGTGATTGGCATCCCATCATCCTCGCAGATTGTTTCACTCACACCAGACTTCTTGCTGCCAGTGGCTCGGATGAGTTGGAAGAGCTTCCGGTAATTACCAGATGCAGCTGCTGCTTCCAGCTCATTAGCACGCTTCGACCACCAGGCTTCTCGGTCCTTACGCAAGCTTTGCCCAATTTCCTTACGTAACATCCTTCGTTTATGGTCAAACTCACGGTCACCCGGAGTAGACCGACGGGCTTCAATGAGTTGTAAGGAACCAGAAGAAACCCAGTGCTTAAGAGCGGGACGTTTCGCAAACCCACAACTGACTGTTCCCGCCATTTTCATGGCGTCATGCAATTGCAACCAATGCTCATCTATACTTTTCGGTGGAGTGGTAGCTAGCCTAGAGGCTAGCTCGGTTCGATACTTACTTGCAACAGAAGTTGCAACCAGCTTGCTAACATCAATCCGTTGGTGGCGTCACTTCGTTGTCCACTGAAAAGTAAGGCAAGATTGGCGCAGACCAAGGCATGGTCAGAGTCCAGATAGGTACTCCAAAAGGAGCGGCAGTCTTTTACACAACCACGCCAGCGGTAGCTGATCGCGATGTGATCAATCTGAGTCCAGGCTTGAGATGCAGAGGGAGGACGCCAGGTGGCACATCGGCGATGACTGTGCCGAAAGTTAGTGCTAGCCAGAAACAGGTTGTGGTCTGTGCAAAGTTGCAGTAGACGGTCCCCGTTATCTGACCTGCGACCAACGAGTCCCCATCGGCCACCTAAACGACTCTCTTCTGTGCCTAGACGCCCGACCTGAGCATTCAAGTCTCCGGCTAGTACTACAATATCTGTCGAACGCACTTTCTGGAGAAGAACTGATAACTGGTGGTAAAACTCATCCTTGATTGCATCCGGGCTGCAATCTGTCGGGGCATAGGCGGAGATGACGAAAAGACATCGTTTCTCACGCCGATTTCTTCTCACTTTGATGGAACTTTCTAATCTAACAGCACATAACCGACTGTTAATGGGGATCCAATCGACTAGTGCTGCCTCAGCTCTAGCGCTTAGTGCGACACCAACGCCAGCAAGACCAGACGAAGATGCCACAGGGTCCCCGGATAAGCGCACGTAAAACAAGCTTTTCGAAGCGACAGATGGAGATCGAATTTGTAGTACTTCGCCAGAGTCTTGAATACGGGTCTCGGATAGACAAAACATCGATATTAAGACTTTCCAAAGACATAGCCAGCCCTATCTGTTGTCCGACCTGCATAAATGTGCGAACGTTGAAGGCAGCCAGTTTGAATGGTGCACGTGGTTTCAGAAAAACTGCTTCAGTACTCATATTCGGTGGTAACATACAATTTTCAACCGGACAGTGACTCGAGAACGTTTAGATAGAGTCGAATTTCCACCAGAGACGAGCTGCTGTATGAGTCGAAAAAATAAGTATAGACAGAGTATGAATAAAAGAGGGTGAATAATGTCGTAGTAAATAATAATAATAATAACAATAATAATAATAGTAATAATAATAACAATTATAGTAATGATAATAATTTGAATCATTTGATTGCTATTCGAAGCGAGAAAAGTAGTTTCCATAGATTGAGAGAGTTCATCATTTGCGTGTGGGTTGTGATACTGCTCGGGTGCCCAGACCGAAGTAGGTGGTTATCTTAGGGGGCCACACCCCGAGCCTTTGACCTAAAGGTCTAACCCACAAGGCAGTGGAGCATCGTAAGGAGATGCAGTCCCATGGTAACCGGTGACCGAAAATCGGTTCATACACCATTTGTTCCCGCAGGATACTAGAGCCCATGTGCACCATTGGTTTGGGATCCGGTTAAAGCGCCGGACATTCGCTTTTCGTCCTCTCATTTTCGTAAACAACACTCCCGCCACGAGAAGGCAGTGAGTAGGACTTCCTGACAGAGGCTGTATACGCGTGGCCGTGTGAGAGTATTTCGAAGGGAAGGGCGGATCCACCCCGCTCTCGGCCTACCAGGGCATTCGGGGGCTTAAAAACCCGGGCCGCCTGCTACTCTATGCTTGATGGTTGGCCCAATAATAACTAACCCCGAACGAAGAGGAAAAACGCAAAACCAAATATCGCCAGTCCAAGATCGTTATATTTCAGTTTTTTATTTTATTTATTTATTTAAACACAAACATTGTTACAAGGAGGCACCAAGTAGATGTGCACCTCATAAATCAATCGATTTGTGTGAGGGCTGGGATACTCTCCAGACGCCCAAACCGTACCAGGTAGTTTTCTTAGGTGACTACACCCAGAGCCTTCGACCTAAAGGTCTAACCCTTAAGGCGGTGGAGCAAAGTCAGAAGATGCGGTCTCATAATGGCCGGTGACTAACGATTGGTTCATACGCCATTTGTTCCTTCAGAATACTGGATCCCATGTACACCATTAGTTTGGAGTCTGAGTTTTCCAACCCCTAGGTGGACCCTCTGCGTCGACCAACCCGGTTGAAGCGCCGGACATTCGCTTTTCGTTCCTCTCACTCTTGTAAACAACACCCCGTCCATGAGAAGGCAGTGTGTGGGACTTCTCTGGGAGTGACTGTATACGCGTGACCATGTGAAAGCATTTGGAGAGGGAAAGCAGACTGTTCCCACCCTCGGTCGTACCAGGGCATTCGGGGGCATTGTATTTCAGACATTCATTTATATACATAAAAGACCAGCCCACTCAGCAGACTAATTGAGTAACAGTGTCAACAAAAATAGCAACATTATTAATAGGAAAAATGGAGTACTGGGTATACAAATAATTGGTTCTATTTTATGAGTGGAAGATGCCATAATAGCAATTTATGGTTCAAATAAAAGCTTGGGACTAGGGTAATACGGAAATAAGCAAACCAAACTGCTTAATAAAAGTGCAATCAATTTATATAGATAAAATCGTAGAAAAATAGCTTAGAAAGTTTTTACCTTATAGTTAAATCGTCCCTAACAATAGTATGGTTTTAATTATTAATTATTTCGATGATCGTCTTTAATTTAAAATATAAAATTCCCTAAAAATTAAATGTGATGTACTATATATTTCGTATCACTGTCTTTCAATTTTATTCTTAAGTGTTCATTAATTTTAAAATGATAGGATGAAAATATGTATGTGCTAGAATTAATCGTCACGCTTGATAATCTTTCTGCCAGTAGTTTAAAGATGATGTTGGTTGCACACAAAGTCAAAAAGGATGCTAGGGTAATTCAACCAAGTAGGAAATATGTTTCATAATAAGTGCAGAAAATTGTCATCTTCTGATTGCTTTCCAAATGAATGAACATCGAAGAAGCGTGCGCTTCCTCGCAGTAACGGTAAAAACTCACTAGTATTAGTGTTGCTGATTTCCAGGATTTCACTAACTTTGAGTATGCTTACCTATTTCTGTATTCTGTGAACACTGGTGCTTTTCCATCGGCATCACCAGATTATGTAACTTCATCATCAGTAATATAAACTGTCAAGATGTAGTATGCTAAGCTGTCATCGGGATCTACAAATCTTAATGCGTTTACTGCTCGGTTCAGTATGTTTTTGTCTTTTTTTTGTTAACTAACATTTTTATTGCTGAAACAGAAGTTAGGGTTCTGGCTTTTCACAATATTCCAGCTATTTTCACGTACAGTGATTTGTTAAAGAATTTCGGGCTTCTCGGCCAGGATCCATTAGATAGTGTCTATCATGTTGATATTAAGCGTATTGGATGTTCTTGATAGCACAATCACACCTTGTTTAATATGTTCTTTAAAAAACCAAACATTTTAAATTCCTTGCCATGTATTTTTTATTAGTTCTCACTCAAGCAAAGTGAGTCGGCGCAAGGAAAGCATCTTCGTAGCGATGAAGAATTTTATCTAATTCTCAGTGCTTTTCAATATAACCAGAACTAAATGTACGAAGTCATGACTCTTTCAACTGCAACCATTTCATCCCTTTATTTTTTTCTAGGCTGATCTAATCTAGTATTCTATCATTCATTTGTTTGTTTATTTCACCGATAATTTGAATGTATATATTTGAAATTTGATTTTCATCTATAGTTTGCAAGTCACTAATGGCCCATGGAAATGATAATGTACATAAGGTACGTTGGTTTTATTCAGTATGTCCAATTACTTCGATTTATCAGAGAATGCAATTTTCCGTTAAATTTCTGCTGATTGTGCTTTATTTCCGCACATAAAGTTACTAATACCTTTAACCATTAGTTTATATATATATATATATATATATATATATATATATATATATATATATATATATATATATATATAATAATATATATATATATATCAGTACCAGTTATGATAATTCGTGTAGAGAAGCTTTGGAAACAGTGAGCTACACTGGAATTATTGAAACACTTTTGGGTTTGTAAGTCGATGAATTGAATTGTTCTGTACGCTAATTTAATTCAGTATACTAACTAATCTCACGTCATACACGTAAATAGTCAGTATCCATGAAATTTACTGTTATCTGGATGTTTTTAAAAATAGGGAATTATCTTATTAAAAATGTTAATCGTTTTCGAGCAATTGTTGTTGTTAAAACCCACTTATTCGTTACATCAATTACGTGATATATTTGCTCAATACATTTCGAACACTCTGATCACACATATACTTGTTAAGACATTTTTACATGACAACTAAAAGGTCAACTAGACAGGTTAAGGGTAAGAACAAATTGTTTTTGAACATATAAAGGGGTTTCAGTTTCCGTCTAGCCAAGGCTTCAATAAACCTTAGTATACACCCTTGAAGGCTTTTATACAACACTACAAATGCTGATTTGATATCAACCTTATGACCAGTCTCAACCAAGTGTTTCGCAATAGAGGAAGATATCTGTCTATTGTGTGATCTTATTTGACCATTGACATTCATTTGTTTCTGCAGCCATTTAGGTATGCGTTCCTCCACTCTTTCTTACAGATCACGATTGTTCCTCCATTGCAATATGGTTTAATATTAGTTGAATATTGATAGTGTTGAACTATAACAATATAACTCTTCAAAATTAATCCTTCTAAAGCAGATTTATTCCCATCTCACTACCTAGTGGATATATACTTACAAATTAGTCTTTTGATGAAATCGTATTTGATTCTTAGTATTTCTGTTTCCGTTATGCAGTTATTGCTGCCTAAACTGTAAATGTTAGAATTCAAGCTGATATAAATACAGTTTTCATCAACAGTAAGTTTTTGTTAAACTTGCTGAAATGATGAGAGAGATAATGGGATGGTACTTCATTCGAGTAGTCATACGTTTATATCTTACAAAGAAAGAAGTTTAGTGAAACCAACAGATCAAAAAGACGAAAAGAATGGAATAAATGTAACAGGAACAGAGAAATATTTATCTTTTAAGTGCATGATTAGAAGCAACGCTACTATGCCATTCTAGTCTGCGTCATCATGGCACTTTAGGACCTCATACACTTTTTATTGTTTTCAAATACATCTATTTCATTAAATATTTAGTTCTCTAGACGACTTAGTTTAGATAGTATGAATGCATAAATTATCTGTAAATCGTAGTCTAACTACTTTCGAGTTTCTCCCATCTACCTCAGTTGATATTAAAAAAACACCTTGCAGAAAATACTATCATACGCTTGAAAAAAAATAATAAAAAGGATAAAACAAAACTCATCGCTTGTTTAAGATGAATCAAAAATTGGTGAATGCCTTTGGAATTCAGGTATCATTCTTGTTACATCCGCAACAACGAGATATATCAACGGAGCAGAGCGAAAGATAAATTATACGCATTATTAAGCTATGAGTCACGTTGTTTGTGTGTTAGATAATATTGTTCAATTTTACTAACTGAAATTGATTTTTCAGTCTTGACGTAGTTGTTAATCAATCGAAATTTAAAGCATTAATGTTGCGTATTTTGGGGAACACCGTTTTTTTTTTACATTACTGGTAACAGAAACAGACAGTGTCAGCTGATAACTTTCTATTCAAACGCAGCCAAATTTAGCATGAAAACACTTAGATTATAAATTTTGCTATGGATTATTACTGGTTTCGTTGTGATCACCTTATACTTCAGGATCGAAGTTATCATAATTATGGAAAGTTCATCCGGTTTTATTACGGCTCTTTTTCTTTATTGATGTGTACCCATCTGTGTATAACCCATGGATCGAATGTCCAGTCTAGTGATAGTATAATCTTGATCACCAGTCGTTTTATCGTATTAGCTATAGTACACTGTAAAGACAAATCTATTTTTAGTCTGCCGGTATCATTTACATTGCAGTTGTGTATCTCTGTTTTATGTCACTCGCTTATAATTATCTTTCAGACTATTTATAAGAAGTAACATGTAATCTAGAGTCTCTTAGTGTTGCTACACATTACTCTCTAGGTTTACAAGTATCTTTTATAAATCCGAACAGGAAATTTTATAAGTTTGCTCTTCAATATCATCATTATCAACGGTACAGCTAATTACTCCGGTAGCAGATAAAACATGTACGCTATAGAACGTAAGCATGTCGACTATCTACGTTGTTTAGTTTAGTTAAGCCAATGATATGAAATAATGTTCATCTTGGTTTTGTTAGTTGGATTCCTTAACAAGGACGTGTATCCCAATCACTGGTACAGCCGAGAGTGGGGAGAGTCCGCTCTCCCTCTCGAAATGCTCTCACATGACCACGCGTATATAGCCTCTGTCAGGAAAGTCCTACTCACTGCCTTCTCGTGGCGGGGTGTTGTTTACGAAAATGAGAGGACGAAAAGCGAATGTCCGGCGCTTTAACCGGATCCCAAAACAATGGTGCACATGGGCTCTAGTATCCTGCGGGAACAAATGGCGTATGAACCAATTTTTGGTCACCGGCTTGTATCAGCAAAAACAGCGTTCACACTACACCATAATATTTTTTATCATAATGTAGGGATGTAAATATACAGTTATTTTCCACTTTTGCAAAAGTAATAATAAGAGATGGATTCAGTGACTGCATTGTTACTTCCGTTAGCGCATCTATAAAAAAAGTGATGTTTTCATAGTGTACTTTAACAACTAACTACGTAATTTTAGATTGAAAAGTTTACGTAATCGATTCTTACTTACTAAGTCATGGGTTCAAACTATAATATATCTACTGAAATTTGAAGAGCCTGATAATATCGTTGGCGGTTATATGATTTCTGTAACTTGTAGTCTAATACGGTAATCTGTATATGACCACTGAATAGCATATTTTCAAGAACATAAAACTCACGAAAATTTTCATGGTTTCAGTTATCTATGAGGTGAATTGATCACATTTTCATTGTTCTTTAACACAGGAATGGTTAGTGAGGCCTTACACCTGCCATAAACCGTGTGACAATCTTTGAATTGAAGCAGTAGATCGATATGTCATGTCAATCACGGCACTGTTCGAACTCACACTTGTGTAATAATTCCTCGAGGTTCATTCAAGGTGACGACAACAAGCGGCGTTCATCGTGGATATTCGCTTTCACGACTCCTGTCCAAGTTTACTCGTGAACGAATTGAGTATATCATGTTTAGACTTTCTTGAGACTATTCCCATCCATGGGGATCCTCTGGCCAATCGAGAGTAGGTGGGCGACATAGTTCTCCCATGCGAAATCATTGACAAGATCTCTTGAATTCCTTGACATGAATTTATAAAATTCAAGATAATTTTCTGAGATTGATTTACTTTTACTCTTAGTTCGTCAATATAGATCAATGTAGTTGAAACTATTATTTATTTTAGGAATCAGATCACCTAATAAGTTGGTTACTGAAAATGTTCCAGCATGAATATATGTGTTTGATCTAGTTCCTACCAAAATTTACTACTTACAGGAAGCATATATTTCTATTTATTCGAAAAGGAATGCAGTACGTAGCAGTCTTCTTTAACTGTGTGACATAGTTGTTGAAGATGGAAGATACACGAAAACTACAGGCTTGACTACGGCTCTGTTTAGCATTGCAAAGGGGGTAGACCATTTGATGAGGTCATTTATCTGCACTGTCGGGGATGACTGAGTTATGGGATGCTATTTGAATTACGGTTAGAATAAAAACCAACTTGGAGTGGGCAGACTGAGATATGGGATCAGTCTGCGAAATAATTGACCGTTAGTCACCGTTGTGCAAGGTATCGTATGCCTTCTAAATACGATTCTCAGTGTATTGTAAGTTAGAGCTCGGAAAAGTTTGGTGACTCGATCCAAGCTGACCGCAGCGGTGCACATATACTCTATATTTTCTCAAATCGTGAGGTTTTTAATAATTTAATAGGTGTAAATTACTATTAGTGTAGTTGTAATCCAACATAAAGTTGACAGCTGTTAATCAACAGTGTCGTCACGGATATCTATCCGAAACCTTTGTTCTCAAGAATATACTATAACAAAAACTAAAATATTATTACTTACTTTCATGGTGAACTGGTTGATTGCATTTAAACTCATATTGTACTTATATCCTAGTTTCTCTGTATTTTTCCTTAATCATTTTAAATGATTTTCTATTTAGATAGCTATTGTTTTCAATGACTCAGGTCTAGATCATTTAACATATCCAATATTTGTTCAGCAATTTATTAAACATAATGGGAAAGTTCTTAAATTATTTGTAGTTGGTGATCATAGTTGTGTTACTGAAGTTCCTTCCATCAAAAATCACGACAAATCTGGTAAGTTTGCATCTATCATTATATGTTATGAAAAATTCGATATGTTGGTGTATGTATGAGTTATATCTGTTCATCATTTAGATGTAGACGAACACTACCCAGTAGTATAGGTTTACGTATTCAGGCTCAATCATAATCTTTGTATTGAACCTAATAGGCCGAATTAGTTATTGAAGCCAAGTAAATGAAACTTAATTCGAGCACCTGAACCAATGGTTGAGTTTTTCTAAATATAATAAGGATAAAAATAATTACTAAGAAAAACATTCACACAAATGAATCGGGTATATATATATATATATATATATATATATATATATATATATATATATATATATATATATATATATATATATATATATATATATATATATATATATATATATATATATATATATATATAGTCAATTCATATAATTGTATATGCCTACTTGATTGTGTTTTAGTAAAAGCCTTATTTCGAGTCACCTGCTTTTGTATCACGTATCGTTAATGACAAGTGTAGTAGGTACTTACAGATAAAGTATAACAATTAGAATATTGAGTTGTTAGTTATCTCACTTTTATATCTAAGAATATTTCTGTGATTTTTGTCAATATGCTTTCTATCAATCATAGATTATGTGATTGCATCTATATTTATTGACTGGCTAGTGATACATATGTATTTTATAGTAATCAGGTCGCCATCTGCTTTTGTATACAACATTAGCTGTAGTAAAACTATATGGAAATACAGTCAAAAGAAGTTGTGTCAAGAAATGACACCAATCCATGAAGTGACTGATTGTCGTTTTGAATCACTTCGTAGATGAAGTCCTCTAGATGATAAATATTAATAAACCAAAACAACTGCAATTTCGCTATTCGTTTGTTTATCCCCATAACGCTTTTTTAGAGTTTACCACATTTTTGAAGTATCGTTCATTATACTCCAAGTTACATCAGTGTTATTTATTTGATCTTAAGCAGTCGGTGTTATTTTACGTTATAACGGAAAAAATAAAAAAAAATAATAACTCTAGTACCAATTACGATATCACTCGATAAGCTTGGACAATAAGACTGGATACACTAGATCACCATATTAGATAATTAGACGACTAGACTAGAACATGTTATACGCAGATAGACGGTTCCAACCAATGATCGAAAGCTACATTACAGGTTAGAAAACGGCTTTAATAACACAAATACAAGCAGTTCACTCCGTGAAACTCAGAATGGAAGATTCAAGTGAATCAATTACAAAATAAAAATAGTAAATTATATTAAAAATTATGGAGTGTGTGTGGCCATTTTTGCTCAGTAGCCAGTCATTAAATAATAACAAACCCTAATTATTCTTCCAATTTTTTAAAGTTTATTTCGTTTCTGGCTATCACCATTGTTATGTAAAGAATCCCTTGTTTTTCGACTTTAGGTGTTCCTTCTTAAGTAACTTTTTAAAATTGTTTTGGTTTATTTTAGTTGTAAGTGAGCAACAATTAGAAGATCCCATTTATCTTAACAACTCTTCATAAAAATATCAGATCATTTTCATCACTATACTTCATATTCTGTCACAATCGATACTATGGTTATTACTAAATTTTGTTAATTTTTCTAATTTCAATAATTCAATTCGTTCAAGTACTATGGCTGAACTTTATACGTTTAAGATAAAAGTGTTATTTTTCGAATAAAGTACGTGAGAGAAATAGTACTGCTCAGAATAGTTTTTATGATACTACTGTAAATTACTGACGTAGAATATATGAAAAACTTATTTTCAGTATTACAGTAAAGGGACAGTTTGTAATCCATCATACGTTTGTTTAATCATAAGAATAGCAGTTAAATATTTTTTCTATAAAAAAAACCATTGAGCTAAAAGTGATTGATATACTGAAACATTGATTAACTATTTAGAAAGTACACTCATTTTTTTTAGGCCTAAATGTATTTGATATTAACTTGTCAATATACTTTAGACAATTTATCTACTAATGCATAGAATGTGCTTTCACTGTAATGACATTAAACAAAACAAAAAAACGTGATTTGGCTTTTCTAAGCTTTATTCCTACTTTTTCTCTTTAACATTGTGTGGTTTCATTTAAGGTTACACTTTACTATATAATAAGTTTTTTTTGGATAATCAAAATTCTTACTTGATTAAAGAATCAATTCTTTAGTTTAATTATATTTAATAAAATTAACACTACTACTATTGTTTCTGATAATAAAGGATAACCTTGTACTTTAGATATTGTTTAACTTTTACTATTTGTTCATTGTCGTTACCAATTGTATGTTTAAATAAATTTTTTTTTAAAAATCTGAGTCCAATTACAATTCATTTCAGCCTTAGAAATAAACTTATATTTTAACTTGATTATATTAATGCACTTTTATAAATTACCGATGCAACTAATTTAATATTGAACTTTATAATCGTGTTTTTTTTATAAAAAAAATTGATATCAGTCTCCAGGTTTATTGTCTTGACCAGTTGAAAAGATTTTCATGTTGAAATTTCATTTTAATATTATGAAGTTATCTCAGAGATTCTTGTAATTAAAATGAATTTGAAACATATAATTTGGTTTATGCTATCATAATAACTTATGAATAAAAACTTATTGTAGTTTGCGTTAGATCTGACAACAAATCCACAAAACCTCGACTAAATTTGTATATTTCCTGAAGCGAATCTGTTGCTAAATCTGCCACTACTGACAAACTAATTTCAGGAAGCATGATACGAGATTCCTTCTAACTGACTATAGACATAAACGAGTAGCAGATTAAACGTATAAAAAGCAGCAGAATTGTGCAGAAAATAAGACTAGAACAGACAAGTCATACATAGTTTACAAAGCTTAATAACCCCAGAGCTCACCAGAGTGTGGCCACTACAGTATGCTAATGGTTACCCCAGTTTCTAAGCTCATTTATCGTTGTTATTTTTGGCTAATGACATTTCTTATATTCTGGATTGAAGTTTATTTACTCTACAGATGGTGTTACCTACTTTTCATAAATGTTTGTTTTGAAATGATTAAAAAAACAACCTTTTTTCGTATAACATCTATTCCGTTTTCACTGAACCTCTCCTTTCACACATGAATCTTCCAAGTTTTACAACGAAGCGTTTGAATAGAATGATAACACCTAATAGCTATTAACGGAGCAATAGGATATGATTTAATAATTAGTTATAAGTATCTGCTGAAATGTAAGTGTAAACGATAAATAACTCCTACCTATAACTTCTTCGGAAATAAAAGAGAACCCATTAATTTCACAAAGATGACTTATTGATGTCTTTTTTGTTGATTCATGTTATTTAGGTGATTATTTTTGACTATTTCCCACTAATCTGTAAGTACATTGTTGCTTTTTCTCCACAGCAGATGGGACTCCAATATTTTTTCATTCACATAGTGTATCGAAGGATGGTTGTCAATCACCTTTATCTGAAGTAAGTATTGGAATCCTCATTACAATCTTACATCTATTAAACTCTTACTCAGCACTTTGTGAATCGTTCTCACCATCCGCAGTTGTTTTAAATTGAGATCACCATGTTTGATAAAATTTAATAACCGTTTTTTTAAAAAGCCTAAGGTTTGTATAGTAGAAGTATTTATGCTTCATCGCTTTTCAAAATGTAAACATGCTTATTTGACCGATACACAAGTTATATTTACCAAATGTTATATTCGACTAGGTCAGCTTTTGTCGGTGACACCCTAAACAATTATATGAGTTATGAATAACTCTACACTGACTGTTCCATCCTCTACATCAGGAATGCGACAAGTTTTCGTTGGAAACATGTCTTCTTGGTATTTTACTTTGGCTATTTTTCATCATAATTATATAGTGTTCGTACACCAACTTCCTCATGAAACCGTTATGCTACTTTGTGTGATAAATATCATAGTTTCTCATTCCCAAAAAGCTCTGAGTTTCAAATAGAAACTAGTTTTCACATGTTTATGCTTCCCACTTGTAAGTGGATGTTCTAGGATTGATATGCTTCAGGATAAAGTGGCAGTGTGTAAACCATTTCAAAAATGTAAAGCATCATATGCGTGTGGTCAAAAGTATGTCACTACAAGTACAAGAAGTTTAGTTGGGACTTCCTATTTCGCAGTCTATGATACAAGTACGATACTCGAATTGCTATCTAGTCACGAGTATATTATACACCGATAGTCACTCTACTAATTTGCCGACAATGTATTGTTTTCAGTTAAACCAATTAAGAAGACTTGAGGTAATGACTGAAACTGCTGTATGATAAGTCCTCAGAGCAGGTACCAAGGTTTGTCAGGGAGTGAAAAGGAGACAAATTTGTAAACTTGTACAGACTATATCATATCAAGCATCGTGAGCCATCATCTACCACGGTTTGTGGCGGAAATTGAGGTACAGATGATATCCTTAATACATAGTAGTATTCTTCCAGTTACTATCAAATGTTAGTCAGAGTAATTCAAATCCTATGGCAATTATAGGAATGTAATTGGTAATTTCGTCTCAAATATTGGTCGTCTTGTGTCTTTAAAGAACATAGTTATCAATTATCTTCAACATTTCGATAGTTTTCTGCCTATCCGAATAATATATTGTTTAGACGGTTAGGAGGATCATACATTGAAATCAACGGTTGTTTCTTATCTGCAATAATAGCATACGTTGTGTGGGATCCGTCACTTACACGTTTTTATAGCACGATAAACCGCCTCGTAAAAAAGTATGTAAATTTTATTCATCGCGTCAACTATATTGCATTAAAAAAATAAAACTACAGTTAATGGATGCCATTGATGAAGTCTTTCATAACCACTATCAATGAATTTGATGTCTAAAAACTAGCCGAATAGTTTGTTTTCATTTTAGTTGAACTCATTTTCCGATAAACAAACGACAACCCCATATGATGAGTCCCTATTCAATATGTTGGCACATGAAGTTCGAAAAACGCTCAAAATTGATTTGTTTGGGATAGATCTCATTTGTGCAACCGAAAATTCCATATCTGATGCTCTCTCGAAATCAAACAAATACGCCATTATTGACTTAAATATTTTTCCAAGTTAGTGAAATGTTTTTATATTAACTATGGTGAGTCTATCTGGGTTAAGTATTAGAATATTTTGATGTATGTTTGATATTTTTTATTTTAGTAGAGATCTGACTGGTGTGGATCAGAAATGGTACTTATAGTTTGTTACCCAATGGAAACAACGAACAAAAAACTTGTGTAGGTCTTTTATCTGATGTGTTTTGCGCACGTCTGTAGAAACGTTCCGGTCATTATAGTTAAAGTAATCGGGTAAATCAAACGTCACCTTTTTAAAAAAATAATAAATATAACTAAACAGAAACTATCATCCTATTAACTCGCTTTTTGTTTAACTGATAATTAGCTTATATTTAACCCGTTTATATTTTATACCATGTTTTAGGCTACAAGAATGTGCATGGGTTCTTGTTTTATTTAGAGAATCTAATCAGGGAAAAACTCTCCTTGCCTTTACTTTCGAATGATAGTACCGATGTCCAGAAATAACACAAAGTAGTGATTTTTATTATTATCTCGAATACCTCGTAGCTGTTCGTAAAAATTGAAACTTACTTATTTTTATAAGACTTTTGTGAAACTATTTTGATTTCTTAAACAACGGTTTATATTGTTTTTCCTTTCTTACTACGGTCAGATTTTTCTACTCTTATGCAGTATACTTATCGTTTTCTTACGCTTCCTTTAGCATTGTTTGATTGTACTACTGATCAGCAGTACGCGTTATATTTGTTAATCGCTACGAATAATATAAATTGGAACGAGTCCTCCAATTTCTTAATACATCGTCTAGACTAAAAATATTGTAACTAACTCTCACCAAAATGTAATCGATCGTGAGATGTAAACATCATGCTCAAAAAGAAACTAGTCACAGCTATATTGAACTAAATAGTTTTATAACGAACAAAAACAAGGTTTTATTTGTTTGATTCAATTTACACACTGAAATGATTCAAAATAATTGCCTCGAGTGTAATCTGAACATCGATGAATCGATATAAATTCTACCACGCGCACAATTACATCCCAGTTAAACTCGACAATTATTAGTAACTCAGTGGTGAGGGGAAAAACGAAGACCCAGTTTGTACTGCCTCAAATTGTAGTCTTAAACGGTATGATTTTCTTCCTCTAAAAAGTCCTGTTACTTAACTTATTTGGTACGACATGTAAGAGGCAACCTACGTAGGGGTTAAAGGATGTCCCAAGACAATGCTCCGAAAAGACTACTGTCTCTAGCTAATATATAAATCATACGGCTCAGTCACAGTACATAATCCCATACCATGTTTTGACTCCCATATGCATATCCACTGTGGTAAGTGGAAGTTTGTTCTTAGTCATGCAAAGAAAAGTGTTTTAAAAGTTGTTTAAGAGAGTTGAAAGTAGTCGAAAAATGGGAAATATTTTTGATGTTGATAGAAGCCAAAGTAAATATGTGACTGGAGTATTCAGTTGTCTCTTCCAACTTGCTTCATTCTGACTTTATCATCATCATCTTATAACAAGTCTTTGCTAGCATCAATAATGGTAACTGATACACAACAACCTTTTCAATAAAAAGGTAGCGGTATCTCGTATACAGAAATAATTGAGCGTATTGTGTAGGTATAATACCTTATTCTCACATTCAACGATTTGTAAACTGCTTACTAATTCTAGTCGATGATATTGCTTCCCCTCATTCATACCATGTCAGTCAGTTATCTACAACGTAGGACCAGGCACGTATATGCATCGGTTCAAGTTGCCATACCGATACTATGCAAAATAATGAAAACTCAATGATAAAATAAACTACTTGACTAGAGATGATGGCTAAAGCCCAAACAACGATTCTGACCCTATCGGGAATTTTGTTAATTAGCACCGGATACATTTTGGTTATATAAGTACTAACACGCTTGTTAGTGTTGGATCAGTATAATGAAGCTAAGTCATTTACGTTTATCTGTTAATTTACGTTTTTGAAATTATATACCAGTACTAAATAATGATTAAGTTATACAAATAAAATATGTCGACTATAGTACTAAAATTATCACGTGTTGTAATGCGAAGAGCGACTGTTTAGAAGAATAAGTGGAATAATATTTTTATTGAAAAAATTCTGCTTTTTGATTACAGGGATTTTATAAAGGAAGAGGTAATGCGTCAACAGCAGTGTAACACTTGTCATACAAATCACCATACTGTTCATCCCGTGTTATGAAAACAATAGGTATAGGGGTAACTGAAGATACACATGCACCGAGGTCAAACTTTGACGGAACATAGCAGTAGGGTATGTCGTGTTCCTCACACACCAATGGCACATGGGATATCAGATCAAACGGGCTAATATCACCAGCTAATACGACGATACCAGATACACCTTTCTTTTCAATGGCTTTTAAGATTGCTTTGATTCCGACATCTGTTTTTTTTACGCGTTTAGCTTTTCGAGCGAGTTTATACAAACGCTTTGTTAATTTTTTTGAAGCCATAGGCTGGGCGAACACACCTACACATTGTATTTGTTCCTCATAAGTACGTTCTGGACGGTTCTGATCGCTACTCAGATCACTGTTAATCTCAATTTCCATCATTGAAATATACAATGGTGTGTGCCGGCAAGACAAACAACTCAGTCTATAGAAAGAAAACCTTTGATGAAAATTGGGTAGAAAACCACTTTTAAAAGAATACTTATTCTTTACATTTTTGAGTTACTGCTAATCATAATTTACTCGTCAGTGATGATCATTACTTAAACTATATTGCTCTTAAAAGTAAGAAAATGTTATATAATCCATTCTTAGTCTCGTAATATATACTTCCCCTGCTTTATTTGTAATTTAGATATGCTTTGTGTCTGGAGAAATATTTATTTAATCTCTGACTAACTGAAATTCACTAGTCATGTCTTCAGACTAGTCGCTATATTGACTCTGAAAATCTACTTACATGATGACCTTGATATTTCCCCGATTACCTACTTCCTTATTTAAACACAAACATTGGTGCAAGAGAGCACCGACAAGATATGCGCCGCACTTCATTCTAGTTGTATGAGGGCTGCGGTACTGCCCGGACGCCCAAACCGAACCAGTTGGTTTTCTTGGGGGACTTCACCCAGAGCCTTCGACCTAAAGGTCTAACCCATAAGGCGGTGGAGCAAAGTCAAGAGATGCGGCCTCATAATGGCCGGTGACTAAAGATTGGTTCATACGCCATTTGTCCCTTCAGGATACTGGATCCCATGTACACCATTGGTTTGGAATCTGAGTTTTCCGACCCCCTAGGTGGACCCTCTGCGTCGACCGACCCGGGTAAAGCGCCGGACATTCGCTTTTTGTCCTCTCACTTTTGTAAACAACACCCCGTCCATGAGAAGGCAGTGTGTGGGACTTCTCTGGGAGTGACTGTATACGCGTGACCATGTGAGAGCATTTGGGGAGGGAAAGCAGACTGTTCCCACCCTCGGGCATACCAGAGCGTTTGGGAGCACCCAGGACCTTTAGTCATGCGCGAACGCCCAACCTTTAGGGCAGTGAGACGGCATTCCACAATGCTAATATCTAACTACAGTCAGCTGTCCAGTGATCCCAGGTTTTCAATGATGGTCTTAGATCGTTTCACGGTTCCAATGAAGTCGAACAATTTCCAGGCCCACACACTGACGATCTCTTTGTTTCTGGCTACTGATATAAGCAGTTTTAAAATAAATTACAGCATTTATGCAAAATTTATTTTTATTTTCACGAACAGTACAGCTGCAAGCGGCATAATTATTTACTGTTTGATCTGTTCACCTGTATCCTTCCTGCTGCTTGGCGGAATGTTTGCTGGCACAAAATAACATAACATACGTTGTATGTGACTTTGAATTTTTACCAAAGAACGTTATCATACGGTAACTCTTTGTTACTTTTACGAATCAGAGTGGGTAACAGTATACGTGAAACTTGACATCTTTAACAACTTAGCACGACTTGGTTTCACAGTCGGTGACTACATGGTTTTGCCATCCCTGTTCTTCCCTTTAATGTACTCTTAACTTAGCCAATGTGCAAAATCGAGATAAGCGGTGACTGGGCATACGAAGTATATGTTTTAGGCAATTCAGTCGTATAAGACTGACATTTGAACTAGCTGATTCTCCAACCTTGCCTAAAGCTTTACGCCTAACCTTAGAATTACTAACTCGGTTATTTCACCAGGTACAAGGAATGGTTTGAAGATACTGACTTAATACTTGAAGTCTATATGTCCTTTATTAGGCTGTTTCTGATACTGAGTTAAAAATAAGAATGTTGACAATTTAAATATGAGTGACCCACTTTAAAAATTAACTGAGATTTGGAAAAGATTGGTCATTATTTGTCTCAATACATTATTCTACCACGTTCTGACATATATTTAACTTTAGACATGTATTTGGTATAAATTCGTTTGATATCATGGTAATCTAATTGTGCTTAGTAATTACTGGAAAAAAAGTATAAAAGGGATGATACTTCTCCTTACAAGATATAGGTTTCGTTTAATTAATAGTTGGGGAATGAGTCGAGAATATTGAGATAATGTTAAAGAGTATCTAGATGCGTTCAATAACTGCTCTCATTATTTGTAAACTTTCGACTGCGTAATAACGACCAAATTATAAGTTTCACAACCATCAATCAGTTTTAACCTATGTGGAGCCATAGATTAATAGAGAAAACTGCTGCGTCAACTGGCAGACATCATTCACACCTCAAGTAGCGTGACTAAGTGCAAGTCAAAGAAACTTGGTGCATTGGTGCTAAGATTTTATCTCTACCAGAATCTAATTGGATCCCAGAATACTAATATACATTGCTAGTCAATGTTTATAAAATAGTATTTCGTCAAGGTTCTTGTCCAAAAGAACCATACCAGCTTATCGAATAACAAATGTTTCCACAAGAAGAACCTGACAAGGTTAGAATACAAAAAACAGTCGTAATAAAAAATGGAAGCCGAAATCATTAAGTTCCCTCAATTTGATCGGGTGAACAGGTGCAAATTACAGTAATGAAGAAATCGTTGATTAGGTATGAACTTATTCGGGAGATTCTCCATTACATGCAAACAGTTTATGGATATTTACCGATAGAGTTTAATGCCCCAGGTCTTACTGGTCGTGACTCGGCCTTCACTATAAGAGTTAGTTCTACTTAATAAGGACTTCTCAATGCAATCTGCGTTTTCGACACCTGATATACTTCAAATTGGAACCCACCTCGATGTCAACACGCTAGCTAGTCAACTATTGCGCTAAGTAGGTCAGCTGGTCAAGGTCAACGTGGTCATTTAAAACAAGGTCTGGGGGTGTTTTTTGACTGAAATAGGTTTTATGGTATAATACCCAGTTGGTCAGTGAATGAACTAACTCAACTGACACAATCAGATATGGTAACTAATATCTATAAGCACCGACGAAATTCAGCAATTTTAATATCTAAATCTACTGGTGTTAGCCGATTCTCAAGTTACACACTCTGTAGTGTCATTTATCTTACTGACTACATTATTGATCAAGCGGTTGCAATATGTTGCTTTTATATAGTTGCCGAAAACATGCCTTAATTGTGAGGTCAGCAACTAACGACGACATATATCGGAATTCGATGCTACAGGTCCATTGAAACTTCTTGATTGATACTATCACTGCTCTTGGTACCATTTGTCGGCACAAAACTGAACTGGGTCAAGAAGCATCCCAAGTCACATTTCAAGCTGCCGGTAAAACTAAACACACGATATTTGGGCAGAAAACGTTAACGCCAGATTTGAGGTTCCGGAGGCGATTCCCCTGGGTTTTGACTGCAGGCGATTTCTTTCGCAATACTGCGGATGGGTTTTTTAGAGAGATATGAATTTCTAGATGAAATTCAAAACAGGTGCTTCACACTGAATGCAACTTTGAAGTACACAAAAGGCAAGGAAAGCCAAATCACATTTCTAAATTTGATACATACTTCTCCAGTTGCAACGCCGAAATTACAGGATATACTCGCGGAATTTTCAAACTCAGTTAAACCGAACCCACAGCCTTCAAATGCAAACTATGACTAAGTCATACGATCAAAGCTGAAGGCGTACCTGTGTTTGCAAAACCAAGGAGACTAGCACCAAGCAAGCTTAAACTCGCTGGAGCTGAATTCGACCAAATGCTGCTGTAGAATTATGGTCTACCATAATATTAGTACTGCTCTAATAATAAACCTTATCCTATAATTGTAGATTTGTCATGATATAATTATCTAGTCTATAAGATCTTACGTGGAAGACACATCATCGTCTACATCAACTCACAACATCGTAACAATTACCAATACATGATGGAGCACAAACTTAGGCTGGAGATAAAGCAATATATTTAATATGAATAAAAGATATAAGGTAACATTGATCAGGGACCACGCTTGCATGGCCGAGCCATGCCATCGGATCAACTCCAATTGATTCAATTCTTTGTTCACGTCTTTCCCATCGTTTGGAATTTCTCTGCATTAGGTATTGAATATCTATTTCCCGAGTAGTCTCGTGTTCAGCTTTGAAGATTGTGTGGTTATGGTCCAACCCCACTACATTGCAACTGGGTATTGTCCATACCTCTTATAGTCAGTGATCATCTCATTTGCAAATGGCCCCAAAGAAAAATAGAGGCCGTGCAGGGATTACAGATCCCTGAACCGCCAAAACGTACCAGATAGATGCTGAATACCGCATATCCAAGATTTTACAAAAGGTTTACGGTTTATGAATATATTTACCAAAGTCGCATAACGCAATATCCCAGTGGCTGAGGAAGGTATCCTTAAGACAGCTATTATTACACCTTTTGGACTGTTCGAGTTTGTACGCATGCCCTTCGGCCTGAGGTACGCGGCACAAACGTTCCAAAGATTCACGAATAACCTACTTCGAGATATGCGATTTGCACAGGGGTATATAGACGATTTGCTGATTGCCAGTCCCGATATACAATCAGACGAACGGCATGTAAGAGCAGTGTTAAAACGGCCGGATGAAAGTGAAATGAAGACAAATCAGTGTTTTTTCGGTGTTCGAACTCTAGAATCTGTAGGGCACACAGTAAGCACAGAAGAGACTACAACATTCAAAGAAAAAGTGGACACCATCAGACAATACTCCATATCTACTTCTCTAACACAACTTAGAAGTTTCCTGGATCCAATTAAATTTTATCGCATATTCATGCTCGGTTGAGCACAATTAATGCGACCTTTGACATTCACTTAAAGGAAGACCGAAATAATTCAAGCTGACTTCTTAGGCTGTTGAGGCTCTTAAAGTACTAAAATATAAACTGACCCAAGCATCTTCGTTGATGTATCTAAATTCCCTTTCCACACTTTCTTAAATGGTAGGTGTTTTGGACTAAGCAGTAGGCGGTAACCTTAACCTAGCGGTGAAGAACGCCTAAAAACTAATTGCTTTTTTCTCCAAAAGACCCACTCCAGCAGAATCGTGGTATTCTTCCTTCGAAAGAGAACAGTTAAGCATTCCCGACACATTCTGGAAGGCAGAGGCTTCATAGTTTTCACGGACTACAAACCACCGAGCAATGCACCAAAAGTCAGAGCTGATAAATACTAACCGCGAGAAGTCCGACACCTTGACTATATATCACAGTTCAAATACACTAGTGTTAGCCAGGAATCAACACTTGAGCTCAAAGCAGAGTTCACCTATAAGCACCTACCAAAAGTAACTTAGCTCAAACATATGAGGGGCTACGATTCCAATGTACCAGCGTGACAATGTTCTTAAAGTAGGATAACAGCCGATAAACTACAATAAAAGTATAACTCTTATTACATGACAGTTCGTTGCATGTTGGCTGAGACGAATTCGCAGTCGATGTTTCGTTCCGCATAATAATTTTCATTAGGTTGTAATCCCAGCAGGTACCATCGACCAGCTGCTTAATGCACGTTTTGGCCGTTCTCGTCATTACATAGTCATAAAGGAAGTAACTGACAATACGTGCCGGTGATTATTGCACGACATCAGATAAGAGTTACATAGAAGGGGACCGAAGTCATAGGAAAACGTGAGCACAAAACGAATCATGGGGTTTGTGAATTAGGTATGTTCAAACGTTTCTTCATGTGTTGATATATGAGTTACCAATCATTATTCAGTTCGTCCTTTGTTTGAGCCTCATAAATAATTTGTGGTCCCATAGTAAATTATCCACTCCATCAGATTTTTCTATACATAGCTTAAGTAATTTATATCTCATAAGTTCAAACACTTTTTCTACATATACGTGGTGAGCAGTAGGGCGCTGTTTCTCCGGTCTTTTATCAGATCAATCTATCCATTTTCTCAAGCCACATTTTTACCCTGTCACATATTAGCTAAATAATCTTAACTTTTTCATATGATCGTATTTGTACTAATTACTTACCTTACTCATCACCTGTCTGTACCCTAATTTTATCGGACTATAGATATTAACTCACGCATGGCCAAATTGAGTTAGCTATAATGTCTTCTGCAATCCGTTTCGCCTCCTTCTCTCCGTTTCCCTGATTGTATGTCCAAATTAACGATTGTATGAAATATACTCATTCAAAGTTCATTCTCGTATTTGACTTGTTTAATTCCGTTATTCACTATCGCGGGTTGAGTTGATGATTATGTACGAGTACAGCCAGGATGTATATTTCGACAGAAATCATTCGATAGCAATCAGAAGCGATCTACCTGGGGTCAGATTAGAGGCAACAAAACGCTTTTTTTTCCTTTGATGCAACCAAATAAGAATAAAGTGTAACGTACACAATGACGATTTCCTGTTGCACTTCGGCGACCGAAGTGCAACTTTTATGAAAAACTCAGATGGACATTGCACATTTACTCTCCAGTGTATATAAAATTGGAATGTAACATTTGAATATTGTTGCGAAATATAGTCGACCGTTCATATACTTTGCACATCAATTCGACCTAACTTCTGTTATTATGAAATTCCTGACCGTATAAGTTTTACATAACGGGAAGCTTTGTTGTGGAAACTGTTTATTACAAACGTAGCAGAAAACGAACGATCAGCAAGTGTGAAATCGAGGTGAAAAAACAACTTTTTGAATTAAATAATTAAATCTAGATGCAAACATCTAATAGCACCGGAGTTATCAACGTCTCAAGCAACTAACATTTAGACTCGTTGAGAAAGTAAATGCATATGCCATCACATGTTGCCCGTCATACATGTTTTTACAAGCACGGGGACATATGTGTGAAAGGATATAAACACATTGTTGCTGACATAACTAGCTTTTGATTTCCTTTGAACAAGTAGGGTAGGTGGTTTAGTTAATTAAAGTGGCTTTATGTGGGGATGAGCGTTCCATAGTGATTCACACACCAGGATATCCACTTGCGTTCAATTCCAATAGACCCCTGAGAGCGACACATGTAAATTAGGAAGCTATAAAAACTAATTGAACCGTAGTTATCCCTTATATTTTTTGCAAGTGAGCGAGTACTGGAACTAGTTACCTGCTAAATTGGTCATAGCGACTTCCTAGGAGTTCTTTGTGAAAGTGCTTCTAAATAGAGCTCCACACTAAGTTACCTGTACATCTCTAATTTATTTTCGTTTCCTGTTCTTTAGTCTATACCCAGATGGTCAGTATAAGGTTGTGGAGACTATCAAGCTTTTGATTCAGATAACGAACCGATTGATGTTAGACCACCACTGAGAACTTGGAAGCACTGGACGGTCGGTTCGTCTTGTTGTGGAACTCCTCAGCGGTACGCACCCATGATTCTTCTCGCGGGGTTCGAACCCAGAGCCTTCAGTCTCGCGCGCGAACGCCTAACCTTTGGGCCACTCAGTTGGCATCAAAACGGTGTTAGTGTCTAACCCAGAACTATCCACGAGATTGGGCGACCATCTTGTACTTTACTGAGGTAGATAACAGTCTCTTCTCGACGCGAATAAGCTCTAATCGCCACGGCTTCTCACTATCACTTCGAGAATTCCCTCACGGGTCCTACAATAGGACGAAACTGCTGTCCAGTACGTGCAGGTTTTTAATGGTGGTCTAATGTACACAGACGGATCGATGACTCGTTGCTACTGGATACTCGATCTGATAATAACGAAAACCATAAATCAGATCATCTATAAAAGGTGGAAAAAAACTGAGCCTGAGGGTTTTGTTTGAACGTTTGTTTAGTTTTGTAACATAAAGTAGTATATCTAACAGCGGGAAGGACGTCCTATTATGGCGGGCTAGATGAGATGCTAGCTCTTAGCTTTTTGTACGATTAGTCTGTAGAAGTAAGTGTAGAAACGATTTTATATGAGATCAACCAATTAAGTGACATAATACACCTTAAAGCACTCCAGATGGAGGTGGATACTGGCTCTATAGCCAAATGTGCACCGGAACTGTATGACATCGCTTCCACATTAGTTAACGTCGAGGAAGTCACAGATAACAAAGCATTCAATGATTTTAAACTATCAAAGCCAATTATCGACATGGTCAGTCCAGTTACCGAAGCAGTAGTTTCTGATCCAGACCCTAAGGCTCCCCAAAACCGTGATAATACGACTGCAGAACCTTCAGTTGCCCCTGTTGTTGTGAATAGCAATGTTGGGAAGTACCGTCTCTTACGTACTATAGGAAAAGGGAATTTCGCAAAAGTCAAGCTTGCTATTCATATGGCCACTGGTGTGGAAGTAAGGTGTGATACGGTTTCAACATTTCCAGGTTGCCATAAAAATAATTAATAAGACCGTCATGGATAATACTCTCCTCAAACGTGTAAGTGAAGAATTATTCTCAATTTTTTACATTCAGCTTAAACGTGAGATAACTATCATGAAAGTTACAAATCACCCAAACATTGGTAAGTGTTAGTCAACCACCTAAATTTGTAGTCAAACTACTCGAGATAATTGAAAATGAAGATGTTCTCTGTCTTGTTATGGAATATGCTAGTGGAGGTACTGGTTATATTCAATAAATTGATACCGCAGGTGAAATATTTGACTATCTTGTCGCGAATGGAAAGATGTGTGAAAAGAAGGCACGTGTAAAGTTCAGACAGTTACTCTCTGCCATGCAGTATTGTCATGCAAACGAATTGTCCATCGAGATCTGAAAGCAGAAAACATCTTGCTCGACCAGAACTTAAACGTTAAGGTTGCTGATTTTGGCTTGGCCAACACCTTCGAATCTGATCAAAGGTTGACTACTTTTTGTGGTAGTCCTCCATACGCCGCTCCAGAATTGTTTTTGGTAAGCAGTTATAAATTCTAACGTATAATTCGCAATCTCTCAATATATCACTTCATGCTCCCAGTTGTAGGGCTATTTCTCTTTTTTATTTGTTTTTTTAAAAACTAAATTTATCATGGTTTCGTATTTAATTGAGTCGCATATCTGTCTTGAGGCCTCATTGAACAATTAAACAGTAAACGACTTAAACAGACAAAATATGTTTTCTTACTGCTGATTTTTTAAGAACGCTCCTTTGATGGTGAAAATAGGCTATAGAAACATCCATGCTCAAAGTACAAAATACCATGGTATCAAACAGTATATCACTTTTAGGGAAATGATTGCATTAAAAATAACAGTTATTATGCTGTTGGAATTTGTGATAAATCCGCCTGAGTCGATTGTATATTGGTTCTAGTTGGGTGTAAAAATAGTTTATAAATTGTTGCTACACTAAAAGTATCTGAATAAATCACAGCGACAGTGCAATAAAATGTCTTTTATATTTGAACACAAATATTGGTACAAATTGGCACCGAGCAGGACTTCGCTGGCAGTGGCTGTATACGCGTAGTTTTGATTATTACCCTGAAGAAGTCCAGACAAGCTAGCTGGACGAAACGTTGGAATTAGTTAAATTTCAATCGCTGAGAATATTTCAAATATAATTTTCACATATAATGTAGTCATTTTTAGTTTGTAAATAAATGCAATCTACCTTCTAGAATGGATATTTTACTATATCAGTTGGCACTAAATACATCCCAAAGGTCCTTATTTTTCCACTTAACCAATACTAATGCATGATAAACTGAAATGAATAAACTCATTTTATATCAACTTTTGTTCGCGTATCATTTTATTTCCATGTCGTTTTCACTCCCTTCTCCTTTATTTATTATCCCAGTTTACTGTTTTATCGAAAGTTCTGCCTTTTCTAAACATTCTGAAGTCACTAAGTGCTGACTTCTCAAAGACTGTCACGCAATGCGACAACAGATTAGGCCATCCCAAGATCTTGCGTTGGTTAACAGTCTATTTCGTTTTACGTTTTCACTTTAATGCAAACCATTCAACCTTATTGGGACGCTAAAATATATCTGTGATGTGTCAGTGACATACAAGATTCCAAATCCTGCCACTTAAATTACTATTGACATTTGAAAATAGCTTTGAAGGAAATTAGTCTTGGGAACGTGACTCCAATACACTAAAAGGCGTTTTTACTCTACCTGGAATAAATTCTTTTTATCGCTGAAGCTACTCAAATCGCATCTGGTCAGTCAGTGATCGGAGTTCGTCAGTACACTATATTTCCCGTCGTTGACGTGTTTCCTTCTTAGTTGCACGTGAGATATATCTTGGTAACATTTGCACTAGGATTCTTTTGTTAACTTGAAAAAAGGATGTTGTTTCTCAATTGTTTGATTGTTTGATTTTTATTTGTGTTACTTTTACAGGGGATTCCGTACTATGGACCTAGTGTAGATATTTGGTCTCTTGGTGTGATTCTGTTTACTTTGGTTTTGGGACATCTCCCGTTTGATGCACGTGATCTTCGTGAACTTCGGAGCAAAATCTTGGGATTGCACTACACTATACCTCGTGGTTCCGTTTCTCCAGAATGCGACACACTGTTAAGAAAAATGTTAGTTCTTGACCCTAAAGATCGTTCATCTTTAAAGGTAGGCCTTCAGTTCTTTTATATTTATTGATTATCATATTTAATGTAACTTAAGTTCATAAACTATCAATTGCATGCTAACAAAGGACGGAAAGAAATAAGTTGGTTTCACGTCAATCTCAGATATGTTTATCACTGGTTTATTGGAAAGCAATAGGCTTATCTTGTGTTTAAAATTTCCTAACGGAATAGTTTGAAGGTAATATTTCAAAACATTTTGGAGTGTTTAAGTATTCTAATATAATTATGTTGACCTGACTTTCAAAGCTGTGTTATGGATCGATCATTTTCAGTACGACTCATTAATCAATCTTGGATTCACGTAATCGATTATAAGCCACGCTTTATGTATGGGTCAGTGGTCGGAGTAAGCATATGCTTATAAAGTAACTGTTCTTTTGGTATAACCTGTGTAGTGGGGAGTTTACTTTATGCACATGACCGAAGAGACAATCGTGATTGGTACTTAAAAATATAATGTTTTAGTCCAACGACATTCTCAGTGGTTCACTTGTATATGTATGTTGTTTCAGTCGGAATTTTAGACACCCTATTATCCTACGTATATTATTGCCCTGTTTCCGTTTGTTTTCTCTATTCTTTTATTTAACTGTTGTTAGGATAATTTTGTTTTTCCTTTTGTTGATCATCCTTTAATGTACAAATGTGAATTGTTGCAACAGACCGACACACCTTTACGCCAAATCTACCATGTGTTTGTTCTGTCCAGGTTTGGTTTGAATTTAATTCCTGTTATTATCGACTATTAAACCAGAAACGAAGTATAGTTAGTTAACCAGTTTATTCTTAGTTTTGTTTGTTGCTGCTTATGTGAAATGAAAGTTATTGCATGTCAGTAGAACTGAATGAGTTTTATAGAAAATAACTAACGTTTCGTGGATCTGTGGCTTGATATTTAAAGCATTCAACTTTTTAACTCTTCTCTATCTACTTCAGTTTGATCATCCGCGTAGTATCACCAGCTGTCACGTAAAATGTGTGATTCATAGTTGGGTACATCGATCTGCACCTGGTTACTAAGTTCCATTAAAGATAATGCTTCCTACTATTTTTTCATTGCGTCGTAAAATTTTAACTGTCATTTTTCCGTTTCATCTACCGAAAGCTATCTACTGCTTGAGCTGTATTTAAGTTAACTGTTTCCCAACTTTTGGAATTAGATATGTTTGCTTTTACATACTCTTTTGATAGAGAATTTGTAATTGCGAGTTAGTGATCTAATCGATCAACGTTTATCACCTGATTTGCAGATTTCAATCCATTTTGTCTACTTCAGTTTGAGCATTTGGGTTTCATTGGTAATCCCTGTACATTAGACCTGCAAATTGAATTTCAGACACCAACTTGAATTACTTGTTTTTATTTGATCCTTTGTAAGGTAAATATTTTCCTGTAAACTTAAAAAACAACATGATATATAGAAATTGGTGTAATGTTTTATAAAATTATTTTGAACTTCATAAATCATTAGAATTTGGCTTTCCTGAATGAATTCTTATTAACAAATGGAGTCATTTGCCGAAGTAAGTAGATAATAGAACTTTGTTTCGCACACTTGGTCAGAGAATCTCGTCATTGTATTTATAACTTAATAAAATGATGTTATGTGATATATAAAAGGGTTTAGGCAAAGACTTAACTAGTTGCTTTCATTTCCAAAATTTTAAATTGCTGGCCTTGTTAGGTTTCCAATTAAATACCTGTTCTTAAATCATCCTACTTTCTTTTCATTTTTGTGTATAGGATTCATAACAAGTATGTAAGTGAGTACTGTATAAACTGCCTAAATTCTGTAAAACTAATCTAACCTTTTTAAAACTCTTTTCAAGTCTTTGATGCTTGACAAGTGGGTAAATATGGGCTACGCTCCAGATGATCATCTTCGTCCCTATAGAGAACTACCAAAATCCCAACTGGATGATAATCGTGTGAAAGCTATGGAAGAAATGGGGTTTACAAGAGCTGATCTGGAGTCATCGGTAGTTAATCCTGCATTCGACCATGTGTATGCAACTTACCACTTATTGCCCGAAACCCCATCTCAGTTTGTTGAGTAAGTGTTTAAAAGATTCATAAAAAAGTTACCTGAGGTAGTACTTTTTATTTTATATTGAAATCTCTACTAACCTAGATGACCATAGGCCTTGGGGTATCAGCCCACTAAGTTCAATTTAGAAGTTTGGGAAACTGAAAAAAATTAGCATGAATAACAATAGCAAATAGTAGTTGTGATGTTGGACAGCGTTCTTCATTACGAACTAACATCATTCGAAGTTTAATTGAAAAACGAGTAAGCACTGCTGTCCAAGCACTGAGTGCTATCGATGGACATTTGTTTTACTACTGACCTGGTTAACGTAACAGGTCACGACTTTCCTGTAGAACCTCGGGTTCTTTATCTTGATACAAGTCACTGATGCTCACTAGACCTCTGATTTCATTCTCTAATAATAAAAACACGGTCGTTTCTCATGTATTTGGTTGTGATTTCTAATCATCCTGACTTTGTCATCCTCTATTTCTGATAAGGAGCTCGATTCTGTTCACTGAATGTATTGTGTATATTTATATTGTTCGGTCCTGTTACTCAACTAGCATCTGTACTAGGCCCCATGTCTATGATGTCTGTCTGTCAGTTCCATTACCAGAGTTTTATATTTGGGTATGCGAAAATAAAAAGGCTGTGTTACCAATGTTGCTACCAGTTAGTTACAATAGAGCCTATGATCTGATAATCTACTTACTGATTTATAGGTTGTACGTCATGAGGTCAGTTCTTACTACTCAAAAATTCATCCAACTGGGTGTTATCCTCAAAAACAAATGCAGCAACCTCATGTCTAACTCTGTATAGATCCTGGTTTATCATACATTTACATATTATTAATGTAGGAAGTACGAATCTATTTATTGTTTAATTATATATCGGCAACGGAAAGCACTAATTAGATTTCTGTACTGTGGTAACTAACATATTTGTTCCAGGCATGTTAGAAATTGGACTGAGAATTTTATCGAACGACACATTCGTGTCGATAACTTTATGGAAGTGCATAGGTTGTTATGCGTTAGACTGAACTAAACGGCTTTTACATTTGTTCATCTCTATAATCTGACTGTCAAGTTAAGTATGCTTGTCTCGGTGTTGTAGACTGTTTTCGGTTATAATATGCAAACATTTGAACTGAGATCAGTTGAAACGGTCTGACTAATTTTATGCCACGTAAGTTCTGCCGGTGTTCTTAATTTAATCCTTTCTGTTTTACTACTTACAAAAAATTCGTAAGTGGATAACCTAGAAACTTTTGTCATATTTGTAGACCCTAAAAAGAGATGTAGGTACACATGTTGCTAGCTATGTCAATACTCAGATATCCAAGGGAGCTAAGTATAAATTACTTTAAGGTTATTTATTTGAATACATATTGGTACAAGGGGGGCACAAATACATGTGCACCACACAATAATAATGAGGTCAATGGTAGTTATCAGTGGTTTGTATGAGGGCTGTGATACTGCTCGGACGCCCAAACTGGACCAGTTGGTTTTCTTAGGGGACTTCACCCAGAGCCTTCGACCTAAAGGTCTAACCTACAAGGCAATGGAGCAACGTTAGGAAATGCTGTCCCATGGTAGCGGGTGACCAATAATTGGTTCATACGCCATTTGTTCCTTCAGGATACTGGATCCCATGTACACCATTGGTTTGGAATCTGAGTTTTCCAACTCCCTAGGTGGACCCCCTGCGTCGACCAACCCGGTTGAAGCGCCGGACATTCACTTTTCGTTCTCTCACTTTTGTAAACAACACCCCGTCCATGAGAAGGCAGTGAGTGGGACATCTCTGGGAGTGACTGTATACGCGTGACCATGTGAGAGCATTTGGAGAGGGAAAGCAGACTGTTCCCACCCTCGGTCGTACCAGAGCATTTGAAGGCAATTTCAAGAGCTAGTTATATGCCCGCACTAGTTTGAGTTTTATAGTCGGCTTACGATACCAGTTAGTTAACAGTCATATGTTTTCATTACTCTCGATTTCATGTAAATTTCTCGCTCAATTGTATAGAGAATCAAGATTGATGAAAACTAACAGATTTTGTTGGATGTCAAAAACTAATATACCTGACCTCAACAAAAGTACAAAGCTTAGTGAGATCATGTAGCGTGCAATAGATAATTCGCGTTTGTCGACTTGAATCCCCAAAATAAGTTTTGTGCTTATTATTACTCATTAGCACAATGTATTTAGGTGGATATCATCTCCTGAAAATGTCAGCTTACTGAAATAGTGATGGTGACCATTACTCTTAAATTAACACTCATCTATTCTCCATACTTAATTAGCGAAAATTCAGGTTTATGACCTTGTTTGATTACTTGGTAAATGAATGTTTAAAAAAATGTGCATCACGCACGTGTAGTAAACTAAAGTACCCACGAGTCTGCAAGAAAATTTTAAAGTATATGTGTTTGCAGAGAATCTTTAACTTTTTATTTCGAATTTTTATTATTTTGCTTGTTTGGTAGTGTATAATTTATACGTTATGTGTATGAAAAGTTTGATACTGGAGCCATGTTTTAGCCATTAGATTTAAAGTTTGGACTAATTTATGTCTACTTACATTTAGACATCGACATTTCCAACCATTCCACAATGAGTCTAGTCTATAACAAACTGCTGATTGTCATTTAGATTCGAGTCTATCGCTTACTATACAGTCGTAGTCATTAACATATGTATTTCTTTATGGTGTGATTTCGTATTGAATCCTAATAGGCTTTGTAAAGACTTGGCTCCTGGAGCGGTTGTTTCACCAAATACCATCGTATTACCTAACTCTCTGCTTACTCACAATCAGGAGACCAAGTCGACTCATAGTTGTTCTTCCGAGTCATCAGAATTACCTGTCTCTGCGAAGCCGACTGCTATTGGACGTTTCACAGTGGCTCCAAGTAATAAAGTCAATGAACCTACCAGTCATTCTTCATCTGGACGTTGTGCTCGGGGTAGTTTGACATCTGAATCTAACCAAGCTTCAGCACACCATAAGAATGTACATAATTTTGAATATGGGAATCGAGAACATCATTCGCTTACATCCGCACTGCCAAATACTCTAAAACGAGCAATAATGCAAGTTAGTCGAAATTTCACTGGAGGAGGAACTCCCACAACAAGTAATGAAGAAAGTAGTAATCGTGGTACAGCACAAATAGTTACAGGTATTCATTCACCTCTTCATACTTCATTTGATCCTGTTTCTGAATTGTACTTAAATTTTTAATCATCATGTTGGATTAAAGTAGTTAATTCTCTGTTAAATTCAAAATTTTCACTCTAAATGGAATTGCCACTTAGTGGCTATCTGTGTATCTACACTAGCCATATTTAGCAATTTAAGTTTTTCTGTTAACTGACTATGTTTATCATGTCGAGTATTAATAGTGAACGTAAACTATGATCTTATTCATTAAATTGTTCAGAGTATTTAACACAACAATGAAGCAAGGTTTTCTAAAAGTACTACTGTCTGCAATTTAATTAAAGTAATAAAATACCAGTTGATTGTTTGTTGACTAAGACCACTCAGTAGTGTTCTATTTATTCACATTAAAATAAAGTAGGTGAAGAGCATATTCGGGTGTGGTCCCCTAAGAAAACCACCTGCTTCGGTTTGGGCGTCCGGGCAGTATCTCAGCATTCATACAACTCGAATGAATTACGGCACATATCTGTTTGGTGCCTCCTTGTACCAATGTTTACGTGTTTTAATAAATAAATAAAGAGTATATTGGAATACACTGGTTAAAATATGGGTGATGGAATTATTGGGCCCCAGCTTACATGTAAGTTACTATAATCATTATCTTTTTCAGTGAAAAGCACCATATACAAATAAACTTTTAGCAGCTGAAATCTAAGCTGTATGAAACCACTAATTCGTTTGGAGATCTTATACACGTTTTAGAAATTATTTATTCAGGTGGTACTTCGTTGTTCGGGTTATTAGATCCCCAGAACTCGGTAAATGTCTTATTTTCCTAATTTTGTTCCGGAAATTTAAATTTCTTGTTTTCGTGCCAAAAGCGCCCACTTTCACATTCATATCGTAGTTCCCACTTGGGAGAACCTTGAGTGTCATTGACTCGTTGTCTCTTTTAATATGCTATTTTGTAACATTTCCCAAGGACATTTTTATGCTGTATATATACACTTGAGTTATGCCTGTTGTTGTCTGTGCTTCTGACTGCTTGTGGAATACATTTTGCCTCTTCTGAACCTGAACTTCTCTCTGCAGTCTGACACGCTTCAGAATAGTTAGCTTATTTGGTCATTTTATCTCTGAGTCTTCGTTCCGTTCGCAGATTTAAGTGATCTTGTAATCTCTTCACTCATAGCGTTCGTGAAGTTTCATATAATCTTGTTTTCCAATATTACTGCAAAAAGTATAACATTGGAGTAGTTTTAAAATCAACCAGATATTTTGTAGTCATGTTTGGATCCTAATGTGACTCATATTATTCCATAAACTTACCCAACTAAACTGACTTCAGATGTTGATTTTTAATGATAATTGGGTAGTTTTGTACATTATTCTTCAATTATAGTGTTGCTTATTGAAATTTAATTTACCTATTTCTGTTTGAGTAGTTACATTCTTTTAGTTCTAACAGTTTCCCGCTCTTTTTACTTCTAAGTTTCAGCTTGTATGATTATTGAGTTGCATTTTTTTTAGCCTCGAGGATATACATCCCCTTCATATTCTCAATAAATTCAGTAGAGTTTTTTTCTGTCTAAAGTTTGTTTTCCTAGCGTTTCGCTTCATAATTCAAAGGATTTTTTAATTTTTGTTGTGAATATTCCATTGATTTTAAACAGTAATCTCCATAGACCTGACAGTTTGATTTCCATCTTTATGTACTTCAATATTTCTAATCACACAAATTTGTTATTATGGAGTACGTTTCAATTTCTTTTTAATTGAAATTTTTTTATAACAACGTACGTAAGGTTTTAGTTACACTTCACTGTTTGATTTGAATCAGCTTTATATACTGCATACTAAAGTATTTTGGTTAGTCCCAGGATTTTATTAGTTCAAATGACACCAGTTATAATCTTTCCTTTAGCAACTTCACAACTACATGTTTTATTTTTGTATATATTTATTGCAAGACTATTTCTTTTCTTACAGGACGTCATAATAAATCCGTACCAAAATCTTCTGGAGGTGGAAGGTAAGTTAATTCAAAACAAAACTAAACTGTATGTAATATGAAACGAAAATATTTGTAAATTTTTAAATCTTATTTAAGCTTTCATCATTTTAAAACAGAGATAATGTGTAGCACTAGTAGACCCTCAGCACAAGTTTAAAGTCCTAAGATAAAGCTAATTTACTACGTATAAATCCTTGTATTTAGCTTACAGTTTCATTTACTCTTTTATGACTAGCGATACTGACTGTTCAGACTGAAGGGTTCGAGCTTGGAACTGAATGGCTGAACTTTAAATCGTACGATTGATTGTTAAAATTCCTTAAAGCCTATGGTTTGTCTTGGCTAGTAGTATTGCCTTGTCAATATCGTTGTATAATCCTTAGTCATTGGTTCATAATTTATCAACGTGAGGCTTAAAATTGGTGTTTTATTGTTTGCCTTTGAGGGATGTTATCACTGCAGCACCTGTTCCAATTGGAGCTGTCAAAAAACATGGGTTTGGTTTGTCTCAACAACAACAGACACAAAAACGTCAGCCTTTAAATCCACAGAGTGCTTCTCATTCTCAGAATCCTCCTGTAAGATCCAAAAGCCCAGCTGTTCGTAATCATTCTTCATCATCTAATACCTCTTCTGCATCATCGGAAAGTCATGGAACTCAAAAAATGAATAAAGAATCCTCAGTTGCAATGAAAGCTAGTTCAGATATGAACTATCGTGGTTCTATAAACAACACTTGTCGTGATAACGATAAAAGCTCATTACAAGGAACACAGAAACGAAATATGATAGATGCAAACGGAGCTAAAATTTCTGGTTCAAGTTGTACTTCATCTAATTCTGGTGCTGAAAGCGAACTTCGAGAAAGGGCTACAACAATTGTTCAAGGCGTTTGCAAATCAGTTAATGCTTCCTCTTTGCATCATCAACATTCTACTCCTCAGTCGGTCTTAGAAGCAAAACAGGAATTTAAAGAGAATGATGATCGTTCTTGTCTAGTAGTACCGGGGAATAATAATGAACTCATTCACTTCGAACAAACTAATCTTCGCAATGAAAAGTCAGAACTCAGTCGTAGTTTAACAACTATTGATCAGACAAACCAAATGACTAACAATTCGGATAAAACTGCAAAGATTCCATCCCTTAATCCACAAATTAAAGTATTACATACAGTCCAAGGCACAGAAGCTCTCGCTTTACGTCTTGAAGCTTTGCGTTTACAGTCTGTGAACTCAACGACCAAACCATCTTCAAATCCTGAGGCAGCTGCAAACATGTGAGTATCTAGTGATTTTTTTATGTTTATCGTCGAATACACCAGCGTGCATATTTTCTGGATGCCTTTTAGATTACGTTCTCAATTTAGCGTGATTATGATAAAAAATCTAGTGTTTTTCTAAGAGTACTGTTTCTTTGGTGTAAATAATAAATTTCTTAATCCTTCAATTTACTAAATATGTGAACTCCTGGTATTCTTTTCACGATTTGTGATATGAATAAAGTATATTTTTGTAGTACGTTTTGGCAGGATTGTTGGGAGATTCTTCCAATATACAACATGATTAATACTAACTGGATGATAGATCAATAGTCTAGTACGCAACACTTCAACAACAAAATTTTTGCAAGAAATATGCATCGATAAAAAGCCCCAAAAAATTGACTTGTATAGTAAAACGATGTGCCTATCTACAAATGTTAACACAAAATAAGTATGATAAATTATTGTAAGCGATTGGACAAAGGTATTGTTTAAGTCACTCTCCAGTCAATTAAGACCTGATTACCTAATTAGCACACTTATAATTTTGGATTCCCACACTATTATTAAAGTTCGTATTTAAATTTGGTAGTTAAGGGATTAATAGTAGGTAAATATTATCATTCTATTTTTTAAGAATATTTTAGTTTACATATGCTGATATAAGGTATTCGTAAAGGCTTAAAGTCGATTAATTTATATTATATTTGCTTTCCTGTGATCTGATGTATGACTTAAATCAACTATGAAGTATCACTCTTCTAACCCTTTCTTACCAGACTTGACAAAGTGTAAGGAAAACTGTGTGATTAGCACCGTTGCTGATATAATGTAGCTTACAAATCTCTTGACAATTATTCGAAACAACCCAACCAATATTAAGGTAGATGTTCTATGATTCAATGGACAATCCTTTTGAACACTAAACACCTCACTTTTACGTCGACAGTTTTATTGGTTCATCAGATAGCCGGAGTACATCTTATGATTTTACAACTTGGTTATATGGGTTAATTAGTTTTCAGTTTATTTTCAATCAATAAATATTGTGACTGGTAAGTGGAAGATCTGTTTGTATATCATTATAATCCGGCTATAACTTCAACACTGTTCACTTGATGGTCCAGAAATATACGAGCAATGGGTCAAAGTCATCTAATAACTTACGAGTATAAGGCCACATTTCACAGCCATGAAGTAGAACAGAGCTGAGTGTTACGCAGTTTACTCGTTCCTTCAAGATGTCTGTCTGCTATATGCATATTGAATACAAATGACAAAGCATAGATATATTGTTACTACATAGAATTTGTCTCAATAATCGTCTCTCAATATTCTTTCCTATAGAATTGTGGATTCCAGTCATCAAGGTTCATGGGGCCGTGGTGTTCTAAAGGCATTAGGTGGATTCTTTGTACAAAGGTATGTTAGTCTTTTGTTAATTAAAACTGTATATGTCCGCTGAGTTCTTATTTTCTCGTATCTGTTGTATTGTTAAAGAAGGAATAAGTTTTTCTCTAATATAAAGCAAACATTTATTCCCTTATGTCTAGGTGATGACTTGTTTGAATATACTGACATTCATTGAATACATGGATGTATTTAATTAATACAAACTGTTACACTTACAGTACGTAACAAGTCTTCAACCAGGTATCCATTTGATATTGAGAACTTATCATATGATTAGTGCCCCTTATAGAAACATGTGTCTATGTTTCATTGTAATTATTTCAACCGAATAACTGAATGCTAATTCGTGTATCAGATTTTCATTCGTACTTTTTATGTAAAGTACACTATCCAGTTTGTTAAATTAAAGTTGATAGTTATATGTAGTTTGGTCATCTCGGACGTTGTTCCTTACCAAAATTACTAACATCTTACTTATTTACTAAAGAACGTCATCTGTTAACATGAAATGGGAATAGGTTTTTTCATCAAAAGTTTTATCATATTTCATTTTTATCAGTACAGGGTTGTGGAGATTGTTGAGTTTTGATTGAGATAATGAATGGATCAATGCTAGACCACCATTGAAAATCTGGAAGCACTGGACAATCGTTTCGTCCCAGTTTTGGGCTCCTCGGCAGTGCCTATCCATGATCCTGCAAGCGGGATTCGGACCAAGGATCTTCGGTCTCGCGTGCAGGGTCGTGAATGGGCCCCGTTTAAGAATCCAATGCTAGGACGAAACAGCCTTCCAGTCCATCCACGTTTTCAATGGTGTTGTAATATTTCATTTTTATTTAATAATTCATTTTTATTGTACATTAAATAAGCCTAAACTATACATGTTAATTTAGCTGTGTTTTCCTTCCAAGTTAGGTTTTATGTTCACTTGACATATTACTTGATAAGAATAAAATTGAATCAGATCATATTTTTTATAAGGCTAATTTCTAAAGGACTGAATCCAGTCAAACTGAGACTAGTCATATTTAAATGATAAATTTTAATTGTAGCTTAGATTTATTGCTAGTATCCGAAGTATAACCGTTAGACAATTATACGTATGTTGTTCTCAGTCAGGAAATCATGTTTACAGTTATCAGTCGATTAAAAGCTTCTAATTTATGGCACAAGTCCGTGAATCCCTGAATATTGAACTGTACTTTGCTGTTAGATTCAGACTACCTGGTTGGGATCTACTCAGGTACTGTAATCAATGGTTGGAAATGTTAGATAACATCAATTAAAATCATTCACAATGCCATATATGTTTTCACTGTTTATCTTACTCTTAATTTTAAGTCTCAATATTTCTTCATATATACCTTCTTTTTATTCCTTCCCAAACTTTTCCCAACAATTGACCTTTCTCATTATGATCATTACTACATTACTTCGAATCTGTCACTATTCTTGGTAATTTCATCTCGTCTTGCTAATTTAATGTAGCAAATTTGGCCAACGCACAAGTGTACCCAGGCTCTAGTTTGGTAATTGGCTAGAAAAAAATAAATTAGTCATTCAGCAATCTAATGTTTCATTGAAGATTACACATTATCAAATGTTTTAATCCAACTTCAATTCACACTTACCGAGCCTTCTGGTTTGATATTATTTTATAAATCTTAAGTTTGTCTCCATTTTATTCGTTTAAGTTACATAAACTATTTCTTAGCAATCTCAGCAGATACTAGCTTTTTGTTCACCAATTAACTTATCTCCCTTATTTTAAAAAATCCACTCAACATCAGATCGTAAAATATAGTAGGAAGTTATGGTGTTTGTCCTAAATATCTACTGCCCCTTTTTAAAAGCTATTTGGCTAGCAAACAGTCTAAGTTGGTGAGTACCAGCACTGTTTTTTGTACCGTGTTCTCTTTGATGATCAATTTATTTAGATTTCTGTGAATGCAAAGTTGATAAAACAGCTATTACTTTAAATTATTTCATTTATTCTCTCAATTTAATCATTTAACACAGCTTATCAAATTAAAGAAGTCATTTATTATTGCGAAAAAGATGGTTAGATAGGTTGTGTGTTTGGTGGACACTGGTTAAAATATTCCGTTTTTTGTCTCATAAGATTGCGTTGTTGATGAATCGTAAGACTTCTGAGTCGACAGTCAACCTGATTAAATATGAAACATACATAGGTATTTACCAAAAAGTAGAATATAATCGATTGCAGGATTATTTAACGGGATTTATCAGTGTGATGTGTTTTCAACCTCTCCTCTACCATCTGGCAAATACTGTTGCAATAAAATTCTATCCCTTTAGATTCAAATGGTCTGTGACACTTAAGAAATGTGAAGCTCATAATTTAAACGGTGTTTATAGTTTACAATATGGCAATATCAGTGTTGTGGTAGTATGACGGCATCAATAGTACTTTTTATTAAGCACTCCGAATATACGGTGAAATTGTACTCAAAATTCCCTGACTTAATCTGTTTTTTCAAAGTTTATCTGTCACACATAGTGTTGCATCATTCTGCTCTGTTTGTTGAATCCTGATTTTGAGAGAACAAGGTCGGCTACAGAATTCACTTAGAATTCTGGGAATCCCATAATTCCTACTGTAGTTTGTTTATTGTTTTATGATATACAAAAGGCGGATTTTATTTTCTTCACTTTATTTCCCGTTTTATTAGATCTACAGAAGGACGTCCGGATAATCAGTCGTCCACCCGACTACTTAATAAACCACGTGAAGTCAAGTTCCCTTGGAGTGTATATACTACAAGCACAAAATCAGCAGAAGAACTCCTTCAGTCCATCATACATGCCCTTGAAGTCACTCCTGGTTGTCGTTATTCACATGACCCTCACCTTCCTTTTCTGTTGCAGTGTTCCTGGGCAGCTGATCGACCTGCTATCAAAAAGTCTGATTCGGAAGCTGCTTGTAAAGATCAAGCTAACACATCCTTTTCTGGATCCCTTGAGGTTCCAAGTCACGGTGGACTTTTACGTGGAGATCCGGTACATTGGGAAATGGAAGTATGTCAGTTACCACGGGTTCACCTGCGTGGTGTCCGACTGAAACGAATACGTGGATCGACACTACATTTTCGCCCAATCGCTGATCTTGTTATGAAGTCGTTGCGTTTGTGATACCTCATTAGAAATCGTTGCAATAAATATACAGATAGCTCATGGTAAACTATCACTTATATTTCAGTAATGTAACATGAACAAAAAATGGAAAAATAACTTCAAACCTTATAGAACCAGTTCATTGGATTTATATATTTCATTTATTTTATGCGTCCCGTTTTTACTATACTGATGTCAAACTTGGTATGCAGTTTTAATGACTGCTTCCCTTCACCTGTTATTTAAAAAAAATATGCAAAATGAGACTTCATTTCAGATTCAATCACAATCCCATGTACAGTTTTATCTACCGGTTCACAAATTTGAAACTTCAGTTCATCATTTGTGTTTTGTTTTGAAACATTAATTTACCAATAATTATTTTCTGTTATCCATTCAGTCTATCACATTTTCTTTTATCGATTTCTCTGCTTCTCTCTTTCTGATATTTTTACTAGATTAACTCATTCTTTTGCAATTCTGTAAAATTATAGGTTGTTTGGAATATATATATATATATATATATATATATATATATATATATATATATATTTGCACATATATCTGCTATCACTAGTTATTTTTATTTCCCATTAATACACACTCTATCGCTCACAGTATAGTGCTCCTTCCCTTTACTGTATTCTTAACTATTTTCCTATGTAAATGTTTAGACGATTAACTTTCATCTCGTTCCGTATAAAAACTTTCAAATTAACGTAATAAATGATCTTTTTAACATAGATTAAAGTCTTGTACGTATGATACTGATACGCTTAATAATATTCTGATTCACTTAATATTTTACGCGTTAATCTATAATAACTATTATTATTATTACTATTAAGGTTTCAATTTCACATGCATAAATATTTCTGTATTTATCTGCCTTGTGGTTTCTCAGTCTATCTATTATTTTTTCTCTAAATCTACTGTACTACTATCAATAAATCTTTTAATCAAGATTAATATTTATTTGTGAAATTTACAGTTTGTCAGTTATTTGACTTAAATGATTTATTATCTTTCTAATTATAGTTCAATTTTCTAAATATTCTCAAGAAGTTAAGCACAATATAGACCTGGTGTCATTATATTAGGCTGAATAACATCAAATGTTCTTTTCATAATTTGTTTCAATAGAACTACTCAAGTTCTTAATACACCTTGTTTTCTTAGATTCCATTTCCCAATCAAGCTAAGTTTCGCATGTATGAAATATATCTCATAGTAAATTTAGTTCAAAACAGATTAATCGCATATTTTAGGTAGTCGTTTTTGAGAATAATCTTTATATCGTCGTAACCTCTACATTACAATTTCTAATATACAGAGTATTGATCAATGTATTCCTTGTGCTGTATATAAAACTATCGTTGTCATTCTTGATGATATTGGTGCTAGCAAGTAATTTCATTGTCCTTACATGTAATTTCAGTGATTTGCTGTAACTCTACACTCTTCATCGGTTAGCTGTTTTAGGAGACGTTTCGTAAGTAACCAATATCTGAATCTATACTGTCTAATGGTCCAGTAGTAATAGTAAAGCTATTAATACTGTAGAATATCAGTTTAATATTTAAGATAAACTTATTCATTTTTGTTGCTTTTTATCAAGAAGGAAATTAAGACAATTTATGGTACATTTTTTAATCGTTATTATCATTTACTAAGGTACAACTGTATTTACAATTAATTGGAATACCTTAATTTTATCATTAAATAAATGAATATTGCATCACAGAAAAGCAATCGAAAGTGTCTTAGGGTATCACAAAGATACCACACAGTAGATTGTAGGATAGGTATGAAGCGGAAAAGTGAGGAAAGATCATCGATGAAAGGTAATTGTTTACTTGAAGAATATTAAAAGAATATGAAACAAGTAAAGAGTAAAAGGTGACAATTAAAATTAAAAGGTATGTATTGTTATCATCACAATTAAGCTCATCAATCTTGAATAATAATTATTAAAAATATTGGATAGTACAATAGATTTATCATCTTATTAAGTTAAATATTTGGAGCAAATATGTGAGATAATTTTCAATGGTATTTGGCTGTCATTCATCTTCACTGACCTGAGTGTAACCAGTTTTACTCCTGTAATATTTTATGTATAAACGCTGATATAATCGTTAATTGTTTCTCTTATAGATCGGTGAAGGTAAATGTAGTCATCATGATGATGGCTACTTTTGAATTTTGAAGTATTTAGCTTCACATTATTTTATAAGCTTTTAATGAAGCATATAAATACATTCGAAGGTTATCATATGCAGTTGGTTAGAGCAAAACTTAATCAGAAAAATGTATTGTAATATTTACACATTTAGATAACTGATAGCTCAGAGGTTTGAACAAATCTAGGATTATACCTATGTTACCCACGTCATTCTAACTCTTGCTAAAGTACGGACTTGATATTCGCAAGCTTTATTTGAAACTAGGAATGTTCTTTTTGACAGTTAACTCTTTAGATAGTTAAAAACGTGTTATCCAAGATATCAATTTAAACTTCTTTGTGAGGGTATCACTGCTAGTTAGTTTGAACTTGCTTTTTTGTGAATTCGTTTGATTAGGACGTTATTATAGCATATTTTTTTGAATCAGTATTTATTTACTAGGTCAAGTATAATGTAATCCTCCGTTCCATAAATAGATCAACCAACTTTTGAGTCTAGTGGTTTTTGTGCTGTTATCATATCCTAATTAATGCTCCAAGCACATTCATAAAAGTTATGATAAATTTTATGATCGTTAGCTAGAGGGCTGTGACGACTTAAGTGGAGTATGGAAATAGACTTCGGCCGACTCTTAATTACTTTCGGACTTAGTCCGTCACTAGTATTTAGGTCGGTCAAGATTTCACTCTAGACTCATATTTGGTGTGCTGCCGTATATGGATAAGACCAAACCGGACTGGAGGTTTACAAAAGAGGACTTAGAGGAGCCAGGAGGGACTTATTTGAAAATTCAAAGTAAGAAGATATGATTTTGTACATTCCATAAAGAACTTTATGAATCTTATGAATAAAAAACTAAGAATTTCTCGCATACATATTCAGTACAGACAGTTTTTTTATTTGATTTATATTCAAATCTGAAAATAACTAACGTGGGTATAAGCAATTAAATGGTTACAAGTGGAAGAATCATTAATAAAGTCTTGGAATGAATAGGTAAGGTTTGATTAGCGTTTAATAGTGTTTCATTTCTTGGACAGCTTAGAAATATTTGGAATCAATGGGCTGCAAGATAACGCAGTTGAGTTAATAAATGAATAAACAAGATATCGGATAACTTGTATATTTTCCGTAGAGGTCATTTGTGGTAAAATTTGAGCGTAAGCCATTTAATGAGGTTTCAGATGTTCACCAATTGTAATCCTTGATTTAATAGTGATTAACGTAGGAACAGAATGAAGATGCAGAATTTCCTAAAAGTAACAAAATATCTATCCTCAAATTCTGTTGCTTTGACTTCAGACGTTCACAGTAAAGTTTCGATTTTTCAGGCTGTTTTTTTGCTTTGAATGTCTGTTCAATTTCCATCTCACTTTGTTCATTATCAGTAGTTTATTGTTCGTGATTTACTCTGTATCTGTGTATTAACTTCTTACTTGAGGAACGACTAGAAATCGCTTCTCATTGTTTTTGAATTTTGATATTGTCGCTATTTGGTTATGGTTAATGATACAAATAATCATAAACTAGCTAGGGATTAAACTGAAGACATGACGAGTATGTTATCTATAAACCAACAAGTTTTCATCTAATGGAATCGGTTTGTGATTTTAGAGCACAACAATAATTTAATGCTATTGTTCGGGAACTACGCTAATCTTGACATGGTCAAACTTCACTGGTTAAGATTTTTCATTTTAATCACAGTAATTCATCTCTTCAAGCTGGTTATCAGTAATTAAATTATTATAATTTAGTTTAGAGATTTGTATAGATTATTTTAGTATGTATATGATTCTTTCGTCACGGATTCATATCAATGTTGGACGCTATCTATAATTGTTATATGGATTAACAGATTAAAATAAAACATAAATAATCAGTTGAAATTAATTCAACTTGTAAATTAAAAGTGTATGATCATTTTTTAGCACTAAATCATCTGGTTCAAGGTTTCTTTTTTTCACTTATTTGCTCTTATAAGTTTTCAATTATAAAAAAGATCTACTGTTCTGTGATATACGTATTTTTTTTTTATTTCACAAGAATAACAAGAGTCTAAAGACAATTATGAACTTTTCATAGTCATGCAAATCAATATCCGTTATCTGGTGGTCAACATCAGTTTAACTGTAAGAGAAAAAAAATACCAAAGTACATTGATGACTTACATTTTAGTTTTCTAATTAGACATAAATAATTCCATTAGAATTTATTGGATTTTATTCTTAGGAAAAATTTGAGATGTTCAGCTTTTTTTTCCTGATAGATTCAAAATATTTGAATGGTTAAGATCATGAGTCAATTGAAGCTAGACCACTATGGAACACCCGGAAGTACTAGAAGGGCCTTTTCGTTCTATTGTAGGACTTCTCAGCAGTGCGCATCCACGATCCCGCCCCACGAGATTTGAACCCAGGACCTATCAGTCTTGTGCGCGAACGCCTAACCTCTAGACCACTGATCCGGCATCAAAATAATTAGTAGTATTGGATTTATCAGTTAACTATATGAATATATAAGAAGCAATTTTGACTTTATAATAATATTATTTGGACGTGGAATGTTTTTATTCTGTTTGGAATGTATTAAATAAATTTTAACTATATCCTAACATTATTGTTTCATCTGAAACTTGAATACAACATCTAATGGATTTATTAGGCAGAATGCTATCCACACCATACCATTCGCTTTCATTATATAAAGTACCCGCATATATAAACTTTTCTGAAGATAGGATCAATGATCTTAAATAGTTTACTTAAGTTAGTGCAATTTTTTTTCTATTAGAATGAAATGATCACAAATCTACTCAAAAGGGATATTCGT